ACGTCTAGGAACTAGACTACCGTTAAAATGTAGGAATCAGCGCTCAGTAATCCAGGCATACTCCGTTACATATTTCATTCATGTTTTAGTTAGTGGGTTCGGATGATGATGTCATACTTGTAATGATTTTCTTTGTAACCGATTTTCATGCAGTAGGCTTTGAACCTACAATTCCTCAAGTAAGAGACACATTCTTTAATCACTTATACCTATGCTTCTGTACTGAGAAAATGAGATATGGTGAACATTATGATATTGAAATCTTGTACTGTGGAGCATATCATTGTGTGAAGATATCATTCTGTGAACATATCATTCGGTTAACATATCATTCTGTGAATATATCATTCTGTGAACATATCATTCTGTGGACATATCATTCTGTGAATATATCATTCTGTGAATATATCAATCTGTGAACATATTATTCTGTGAACATATCATTCCGTGAACATATCATTCTGTGAATAAATACAATGAGTCACTTCCATTAGATTGCTTGTTTAAATAAATGGCTGTCAAATGCACAAAGAAACACTGTTATAGCTGTCTTTTATATTTATTTAACTATGAAAAAAATATAACATTTGAGAAGAAAAGTCTGTTCAGTTTTCTAATACCCGTATTACAAGCTAAAAACATAAAATGCCTACCCATTATACAAATAGTAAAAGATTTCTTAAAATTATGGACGGACATACAAATGCCATACTGTAGTACTAATACATGATTTTTTCCTGAATATTTCAAAAGAAAGGTAGCAAATATTGTGAGAAGGAAAACAATTTGTTATAATTTCTCTTCACATTTAATTATCTAAAAGGATAATTTTTCTGTCCCAAATATCTTTTAACACATCTATACAAAGTCTGGAATAAATAAATCTACCATAACTTTTTAAACAGTGGAATTGCAAAGAATTAGGTTTATCATGAAAAAAGGATGAAACAGAATGCCTCTATAATGAAACAGCCGATTTGAGTCGTCTCTTAACATTCTTGTTGTTATTGAAGGTTCAATTAACCATGTTATATGGCTTGATACTATATAGCACATAGCTTAAATAAATGCTTTCAGGAGCTTATTTTTATAGCTTTAGGAGTATTATATTTTCTTAAAATGCCTTCAGTTTTGTATATACTGTACACCTCACTGTGATAAGACCACAAAAGCGGATTATTAAGTGCATTTAAGTGTAAAACTTATGTAACAGATAACACTAGAAATGTGTCCAAACCACAGGGATGTTCCCACATTTCACTGTTTTGTCAGTTTATAGATGTACAGCATGACAGCAAGACAATGCTGCAAACTGACGCGGGCAAATATAATATGCCATCCCTCTCTTTTCAAAAACCTAACAATGTTTACCTTATAAACAGTCTTTCCTTTTCGAATTTCTTTCCTGACATACCAGAATATATCAGGTAGATTTACATGCATTATTAAACTATTTTCATTCTCCATTAAACTGTGGAAAAACAACTCCTAAATAATATATTCCCTATAAGCACTTTGACAGAAACTTTTTGAAATGACAATTTGGCCAATGTTATCATGATGAGCAGAGTTACTAACAAAAATAACAAAAAACAATAAATAAATACAGCAGATCTACTTAGTTCAATACCTATCATACATTATATACAAAGTACAAATTATGTGCCAGAGTTTGGATTTTGAGCAACCCCATATAAAAAATGACAATAGTCTAAACATAATTACATTGAGTTATAACATTCTCAAAAAGGCACAAAATAACATAACGTTGTAAGAATAATAGTGTTATGGCATTACTAATGAGAAAATACAATTGCAAATACGAGAAAATACAATTGCAAAATACGAGAAAATACAATTGCATATACGAGAAAATACAATTATTGTAAGTACATTTTTCCATGTTTCCCCCAAAACTTCTTACTTAAAGAAAGAATATTATAAATATTATGAGGGGATTTTGTTAAAAGTTATTTTAAATTCAAATGCATGAAATCTCCTTACATGCAGTGTATGTTAATGGCTTTTAACATTAAAAATATAGTAATCATAATAAATTTTGCAGCATGAATGTTCAAACAGCACATTTACAATAAAGATTTCAACAAAATAAGAGAGTTTAAAAATCAAAGAATTCCTCAAAACCTGTGACAGAGTTTTGATTGTTTTTTTAAAATTCTTAAGTTACTATCACTTCTGAATTTCTGTAACAACAGATAGGTGTTAGTTATTAAATATATGGAACTTTCCATCCAGTAGTATAAAAGGTTTTTAATGAATCAAGATGGACCAACTATTTTCAAGAGAAAGTAATCTTGAGAAAAATTATTAAGATTTTTTAGAAAAGTAAAAATGTTAACAATTATAAAATAGTTTATATGTTACATGCAATTAATGACTTATTTTTGCAGTATTTAATATTTCTACTGCGTGACTAACACAGTAGGGGTTATTTTTACCTATTCTGACCTATTTTTGATATATTTTTTTAGATTTTAAGTGCCATTTGCAATGTGTAATTTACTTTTTTATTTTACTTACTTTCTTTATTTCACTTGGCAATTTTACTTGATAATAGCTTTTTAAAAAATAGCACGAATCTGGCTTTAATCTCACTTGAAAATATTTAACTTTATAATAGCTTTAAAAAAAATTAGCATGAATCTGAAACTACAGAATAAAACTACAGAATCTTATCAGGCTGTACAAATGTTCAGATGGTCTTACTTATTATATTGGTTACATTGTCAAAACATTTTTGCTATTAGCATTCTGTAAATCATAACCTCTATATAGTGACCATATATATGTGGGAGTCAATGTCTTAAATAAAGGTACAGTTTGGGTAAATAATTATAGTCTATATTCACGTCCCAAAAGACCAATCCTTTCGTAACAATTGTTTTTCTGCTGGCTGTTTACTGGTTAGGAATGTCCTTAGGATTGTCCCTACCTTTCCCAGAACATCAAAACAAGACAATATGTACACAGAGGATGGTTCAAGGTCATTGAAGAATTCTTTGATTCTCATTTCTCTAAAAATATAACAGACATTGTGAGTGTAACTAAAATATCAATACATGTTATAACATACGTCTTAGCAACAAAACATTGTGATCATTTCCCCTAACTCTTCTAAGCATTGAAGCATTGGTCCTTTATTATATACAGTTGTGTACAAAAAAAGAGCATTTTTGTCAAGTTCTCGTTATTAATTCTGGTATATGCCCTGAACTGCCTCAATGTTTATAAAAACTATTTACATTCTGGTAATGTTCTCATACTCACAGAAAATATTGAAAATGTACACTTTTCAGAACATAGAGAACATCTTAATAAAAATTAAACAAATAAGTTTATACATTCCTGATATTTGTGTATTTTTTTCCCCTTAATTTCTCTCCTTTAGTTAGATAAAATATCCATATCTCCTCAATAATTACAAATATCATTCGTGCTGTTATGTATGACCACAAATGTACATTTTGAGACAATGAGTCCGAATACCCTGTGCTGTGTTTTATAGAAATTTTAAGTGTATTTTAAGTCTTAGGACCAACTTTAAGACTAACTTAAAACAGTTCAATAAACACTTTTATCTTCAGTCAAATACTGTAGACCAAAATCAATTCATTCTACTGAGAAAAGTTATGAAAATACAATGAAAGACCTTTATTTACAATGTGCAATCAGCATTTGCTATTTAGAAATTAAAAGAGCTATCACATAGGAGACAAAAGTTAAAACAATTTTTCTCTGAAACTCAAAGTTTTGGTCTTAAGAACTGATTTCAGACTTAGGACTTTCTATTAAACGAAGCCCAGTTATATATATCTATATAAATATATACATGTATATACTAACAGAATACCAAATACAATTATACCTAAAAATATTTACCTAAAAAAATTCATTCTATCATCAAAATTTGTTTTAATCAGTTATATAACCATAACTTTATAAACTCTAAAACTAACCTTGATCTATTAACCGGTTATAAAGAGCACACTAGAAATTTACCCTTACAAAAAATGACTGCTTGAACTTTCTAAAACAATTGAGCCACGTCACGACAAATGCAACATACTGCGTTTGCGTCCAGCATGGATCCGGACCAGCCTGCCCATCTGTGCAGTCTGATCAGGATCCATGTTGTTCGCTTACCAACCCTTTTACAAGAAAGAAAACTGAATAGCTAACAGCAATGGATCCTGGATCAACTGGTCAGGATCCAGCGGTGCAAAAACTATGTGGTTTTGGGTTGTTGACACCCGGCCTAAATGCTCTATGTCTTGCGCACATTTATTCCAAATTATCAACATACAATGTAATCTTATAATAAAAATTTTTCTTTCCATGTAACACAGCTATCATGATATTTTAATAACTATAAAAATATTCTAAAAATTTCACAATTATTAATCTAAATACTGCAGCATCAAAAAAATGAAAATAAAAGTATATAAATATCATATAATAAATAAGTAGGTGACTTATTTCATACACAACACCCTAAGCGTGTTTTAAACAAAAAATACCGTATTGCAACCACAAAAAAACAAAAGCCCCCCCCCAAATTTTTTCCAAACACCTTTGTGTTTGGCTTTTAAACTTAAAAATGTAAATAATAAAACATTACATTTTCCAACCTGCAATACTCTATATTTCTGATAATGTCAGCTTCTAAAGACATAAAATGAAAATTTTTAAAAATATTTCGACATAAAAATTTGTTTGTGGTCTAGCAAGAACAAAATGCATTACAAAACAAAAGCACCATGTGTGCTGTTAATGCTTGTCTGTTATAGATTCTGAGATAAAAAGGGGCATTACTCCAAAAATATTGCTTTCAGAAATATTCCCCCTTGTCTATCAACTGAACCTTGTCATAATAAGCAAGTAGTCGAGGTTTATTATGATAATTTTTAAACTGTTTGAATAACAGGCTACATTAAGTTTTTGCAAGATGACAACGGTGTTACTGGCTTCACTTTTTCTTTAAAACAGATAAGCTAAAAACAGAAGACCAGTGTTTCATTAATTTGCTTCTATTTATAGAATTATGGTATTCCATCATTCAGATCACAAAAATTGAACCAATCCTGTTATTTACCATGTCTTATACATTATATATAAAACGGTGAGTGGAAACATTATTTGTTGCTTCTATGTGAAATCATATTTGATCACCATGAGACATAGTAAGTGGTGAAATATTTTGAACTCTCATAATCTTTTGGAAGATGTATAATATTTTAAATATATTCATAAAGATTGGCAGGTGTATAACCTATGATAAAATTTGAAGAAAAAAAAAGTTTTACAAGCTTACAATGTGATTGAAAAAATGGTCTATATTGCATATAGCAAGTCATGTATATTTGAGAAATATTTAATCACAACACATGTCTGTAAGATGAGTCTTGAACATGCCTTTTGTGATCTTCGGTGTCCTTCTGACAGTTGAAAATATTCATGGCAGATTTCAGCTAATCTTAAAATCAATTGTCTCTTACATATCTTAATCCATACACAATATTCATATTTTCTTTCCACTTGTTTTCTTCCCCCATGGGACCCAGAATTAAAGATATTAGTTTATTTATCAATAACAATCTACTAAGAAATATTTTATATAAATCAAGTGTATCTCTAATAATCTATGTGAACTGCTTGATTATAATTAAAAGTCATCATCATCATCTAAATGTGTAGAATATGTTCCTCTCCCCTTATATGATGAGCTATATGCTGATGAACCCTGAAATTGAAAGAAATATGCACATGTAAGTCTATATAATCACTAAACAACAAATAAATAGTAAAATGCAAACATTCATTATAAATAAGTTTGAGAAAAGCCATGTTTTTCTTTTCTCAACATAAAATAGGATGGAGGTTTATTAAAGTATCAAAAGGAAAAAAAATTGGAATAAGGCAATCAATAATGCGTAATTCAAAAAAATAATAATGAAAAAAGAAATAATAAAAGAAAAAAAAATAGAGGACAAATACTTTATGGAACTCTCATAATATATTAGACCATCCAATAAATAGTTTGAAGTTGTTGCCTAGCAACTGTTTCTACAAGCAACATTGACATGTGCTAAGCAAAATGATTCTTCCCTAATCTTTTTTCAGATCTACACGGAGAAGATGTTTTTTTTAAAAAGAACATTTATCATTTATAATAAGAAGTACTGGTACTATTGCCTACTGGTAATTCAAGAATTTTTTCAAAAGAAAAGTAAATAAAATCTTCAGGATTTTCAAGTTTAAACACTTTATGCAGTCAATTCTTGTAAAAAGATAACATAATCCTTACCTTGCCTGAAGCTGAACTGATAGATGCCCTTGATTTACCTACAAATATAGAAATAGTGTAAATAATCTATGTACATTTAAAGCGGCATGCCTCCAGATTCATCTAAATTTTCATGATAATTTTGAAAATTTGATTAAAAGTAAACTATTGTGAAGTGAACAAAGAATGTAACTTATGCATTTGCAAACAACACTTAAAATCCACATAAATTTTTTGGAATAGAGGTCAAAATATGCCAAAATAAACCCTTACTGTATTAGTAATTCGGTAGAAATATAATGATTAACATTGCAAAACCAGTCATGAATAGGACATAAAATATAAATCATTACTTGTATCTTCATTCAATTAATAATTTCCTAAAAATCTTAGAACATTTTCTCAACTTTGATTTTCTTGATGCATGTTCACTCATCTTGAGGCATGCAGCTTTAAATTAAAAATAAACAACAAACTTGTAGGATTAATTTTCCCCCAAATATTTCAGTATAATAAGTTCAACAAAATATATCATATATTTTATTAACATTATACAGTTATGTGATTAGAACCAGAAAAAAAAAACTTTTTCAACACAAAAAAGTTATATGATACATACAATAGTTTCAAGACTAATTTTCCGTAGAGTTTTAAAAGCTACAGGCAAGTTTCAATATATTTGTAATTGATACAACTGATCTGTCTGTTTGTTAAAAATACTCTACATGTGTGTATATATATGTAACTACTGTTAAGTTTTAAGCACCTGTTTTAAGCTATCAAGTGACATCAAAATACAATATGCCAATGTCGTAGCCTGTTTTTTACCAAGGCAAATTTAATGGGGGTCCGGGGGCATGCTCCCTCACCTAGAATGTCTGTTGCGTTTTTGAGCACTCTGGGGCAAGCTTTATGTCAATCTGAATCTAATCCTCTTTTTATCATTTTAGTAAATGTAACATTTTGGAAAAAAAAAATGTTCTTTACTAGATTTGAAATACAGTCATTTTATTTAATTTATTTATAAGCCGATGTTCACAGTTTCATGAAAATGTCAAGGCAATTATTCTGTTTCCAGGAGAATCCCATAACATAATAAAATCTCATTACAGGCAAGTGACATTTGTTTATGAATATCAAGGGTAAACATTTAATCTTGCATATCCTTTATAGTCCATTAAGTCCATTCTGCTTTAATTTATATTGGAGGCTTTTTTTGCAAGAACTATGATCTACCTATTATATATTCATTAACTTCTCAAATTTTAACCAAGGCAACTGCCTGGGTTTGCTGCAGTGTGAGTGTGGCTACAGCGCTGATGCTGAGTCACTGGCTAATTAATGGCTACTGATATCACAAAACTGTCAAGAATTTTTTTTTTATCTTCAATCATAAATTACATGTATTAGTTTTCCAGTTGGATTCTTTAAAATTATCATTATATTAAGTATAGACCTATTGAATAACACATTTTAGCAGTTAACATAAGAAAATAAGTAGAGTAACATTACAGAATAAGTGGCATTGCATGTTGGAATCTATGCTAACATTTTAGATTTTAATGTTGATTGATTGCATTAATTTGCCTATGGAACATATTCTGCAAGATTTGCTTGATTCTTTTTTTAATGATAAATAAGTTATTATCTTAAAGCGGTGAAATACAGTAGACCTAAACAGTGCACGCTAAGTCTCATATTATATTTAATTTATACAGCTGTCAGTGTTATATAAATAGACTTACTCTGAAACTATGAATGACTCAGGGTTTTTTTCCCCCAGCTAATCCAGGCATATAAACAAACATTTAGAGTTAAAACTTCAAAAATTAACGAAACACGTTGACTAATCCACTGTAATTGGTTGTGAGCTGAGAAGCTATAACAGTAAAAGTTTGTTGGCACTCAGGGGGATTAGCTTGGAAAAACCCTCCCCAATATACATTTCATTCTCACCTCATTCAAAAAAGTTTCCTAAAATGAAGTTACATTGAATTTTTAATCTCTAAATGTAACCATACTTGAACTTAATACAGATTATAACAAACTTAAACATTAACACTTCTGTAAGCCTCAAAATAAAGGGGACTCAAATAAAACATCCTTAAAATACACAGTAAGCATTTCTTGTGTAGAAACCACAAAGATGCTAAGTGGGTAAGATTCCTGACATAAAATTACAGGCAATCAGCAAGGCATGTAAGTATTTTTTTCTTTTTGGTTGGGTTTCAAGTAGCACCTTCATATAGATCAAAATATTATGGCAACTTTCTAGTTTAAGCAATGGAGGAAGACATCATGGTCCCTTTCATGCAAAATTTTAGGCATAAACTGGCACCTGAATAGAACCACTGACATTCTGTAAGTTAGCTGGTTGGCTTTCTCACATGAAAGAAGACAAGTGGTTTGAAGTCAACAACCTTATGCCCCTACGTAACTGGATAAGAATCCAGCTGGGGTACATAGTAATTTCCAATGTGTGAGTATGCAGCTAGTTCAAGTAATAAAATCTTTCCATATGTATATACCTATATAACACATGCAATTGCATGGGCCGTCCTTTTCTATTTAAATATCATTTTTCCATAAGTAAATTTTGAAACGACCAATTTGACCTTAAAACTATATCTGAAATTACCACACTAGAGACAAATATATTTATAGATGTACTGCAGGTAAAATGATTTTAAAAGCAATTAAACTGAAAACAAACAGTTTCAATTTTGAAGAGTTTAGGTGCAACTCCAAAGACTGAAAACAGAGACTTCACTAAACTTTAAATTTAAAGCACAGCAAACAAAAATTTATAAAAAAAATTTTAATCAGATATCAACCCGAGTTTGATTAAATAACTCACCTGAAGTTGGTCTTGACCTGTGTATGGACGGAGATGGTGGACGGTTTGACCGGACTGATGATGATAATCTACGCTTTGGACTTTGCATAATATCGATGTCATCATCGTCATCTTCTTCCTCGCCAGTTGATGATAAACTGTAATGACAAATCAGTGATAAACATTCAAATCAAGTGATTTACTGGTGTGATAAACAATGATAAACTTGTAATGCTAATTGGATTTGTAATCAGTGATAACTTTTCAAATCAATTGATTAACGGTTTCATAAACAATAATAAACTTTTAATGCTTAACTGACATGCGAGTACTTCCCGTACAAAAGCAGTACCTGTATTTTTGGTATTAATCAATTGATAAACTGTGATAAACATTCAAATGCTACTCATAAACTGGATTTGATCTCAATGATAAATTTTCAAATGATAAACCAGAATAAGTACTAAAGACTAGAAATGTGTCATCATGCCACGGATGCCCCCGCATGCAGCCAAAATTTCAGATGGTGCATTAATTATTTTTTTCATTTTAAGTTCAAAGCCCTTAAAACTTTTCAATGTTAACACAAACCATTTCCATACAATGTTCAAGGCACTGAAATTATTCAGTCTTAACCTTTTAGAAATAGCATATTGCATATTTGTAGCCAAAATAATGGCTAAAAGAATGAGTGGTGAAACTGAAAGTTCAAAATTTTTCCAACATTCAAAAAAGATAAGTTTGTCTAAAATCATTGAACCATGACCAAATTCAAACTTAAACTGCTTATTCCTAAGATGTATCTATATTATTTTCAAAGTGAAAGAGACATAACTCTGCCAAAAAATCATCAAACCATGACCAAATTCCAACTTGACCTGCCCATTCCTTTGACATATCCATATGTCAAATTAAAGTTGAATATGTGACACTGTTGGGTAGATAAGGAACAGAAACTGTAAATTTCATATTATTTTCAAAGTGAAAGGGGCATTACTCTGCCAAAAATCATTGAACCATGACCAAATTTGAACTTGACCTGCGCATTCCTTTGACGCATCCATATGTCACGTTTGAGTTGAATGTGTTGTACCTTGAGGGAGATAATGAACGGAAACTGAAAATTTCATATTATTTTCAAAGTAAAAGGGGCATAACTCTGCCAAAAATCATCGAACCATAACCAAATTCGAACTTGACCTGTATTTTCTCATGACATATCCATATGTCAAGTTTGAATTGAATGTGTCCAACCGTTCTTAAGATAATGAACGGAAACTGAAATTTCATATTATTTTCAAAGTAAAAGGGGCATAACTCTGCCAAAAATCATCGAACCATGACCAAATTCGAACTTGACCTGTATTTTTTCATGACATATCAATATGTCAAGTTTGAGTTGATTGTGTTGTACCATTGGGGAGATAATGAACTGAAACTGAAAATTTCATATTTTTTTCAAAGTAAAAGGGGCATAACTCTGCCAAAAATCATCGAACCATAACCAAATTCGAACTTGACCTGTATTTTCTCATGACATATCCATATGTCAAGTTTGAATTGAATGTGTCCAACCGTTCTTAAGATAATGAACGGAAACTGAAATTTCATATTATTTTCAAAGTAAAAGGGGCATAACTCTGCCAAAAATCATCGAACCATGACCAAATTCGAACTTGACCTGTATTTTCTCATGACATATCCATATGTCAAATTTGAGTTGAATATGTCCAACCGTTCTTAAGATAATGAACGGAAACTGATGATGACGGAATGACAGAATGACGGAAGGACGGAAGGATGGAAGGACGGAAGGACGGAATGACGGAACAGGGTAACACTATATGCCCCGGCCATTACATGGCGGGGGCATAAAAACCAGGTGGTTAAGTGGTTACAGTATCTTCCATTTAATCCAGGGATCATGGGCATAAGCCCAACTGGGAACACGACCAGGCTTCATCACATGATACCAGTACTGGTTACTATAATTAATCCATTAAGCAGACTTAAAGGTGGTTAAATTAAGTTCTTAGATTTCTTCACAATTAAGTTAAAATGAGAATATTCAAACTGAAAAGAAACATTAGCATGTACTAAGAAATGATCAAATGTTAGACAGAGGGATTCATTTATAAATAATCAAAACTAGATCATTACAACATTGTCTGTTTGGCTGAGGAAATGCAACTTTCAATCACATACAAATCAATCTCATTAAAAGTCTGGTTACCGATTTCACTACTTACTCTTCCAACCTACCTAGCGAAAGGCAGTGGAGCGTCAGTTAGGATAAGATTTTAATGAGATAGCATAATAATCAATCATAGACATTTAAATATTCCACTTACTGGAAATCTTTCATTCTAGATCTACGTTGCTGATGTCCCATTAACGATGATTGTATAAGGTTGACACAGTCATTATAATCCTCGTTATCTGTCATATAGTCATCCTCTGTGTCGTCCTCGTACATCGCCATCTGCTGCCGCCTCGTCGTGTGACCCATCAATGCCGAACGTATCAAGTCTGAAGCCTAAAAATAAAATGAATACAATTTATTTTTGTTTAATTGTCAAAAGCGTTGAACTTTAACCTGAAGTATGGGAGTGTAGAATATTATCTAATTATTGTGTAGACTAATGAATGTCAGTTAAAAAAAAGAATATTAATTAATATGTTTCTCTAAAGGTAATCTACATAATGCTAATGATGAAACAAATGGAGGTAAATACGTTTTGTGTTCTATTTTATTTTTTTCAAGTAGTCGCTAACTGCTCATTTGCCTTATTTCCAGTCTTGGATGTTAGTACATTTAAAAATAATACAAAGTAAAAAAAATCTCTTAAAATAACACAAAAGTTTCAAAAAATTCTTTGAAAATATATCACAAAGGGGTAAAAAAAATAATCTCTCTAAGATATTTAAGATACTTTGTTTTAGAAAGTAAGTTTTGTGAAATACTTCACAATTCATCGGGATCATCTTTATAGAAATTCTATTACCTCATATAATGTTAGCAGATAATTTCAAGTTGTTTTATTTTCTCCATTTTCTAAATAAATATTGACTTTTAGCTTTGATCATAATTATTATTTGGTCGACATTTTATAACACATTCTATACGAAAATTTTCATCATAATTTTTTCTTATGTTCCATGACACCTGTTCCTGTCATGAAAAACTATTTCAAAGGCATGAAGTGAGCTATCCCTAAACTTCAGCTTTACCAGATTTAATAATATTTTAAGCATAAATTCTTATTGAATATTTGAATAACTCATCAAAAATAAAATGTCTTCAAAAACTGACAATCTTAAAAGCAGACAAGATAATCTACTGAAGTCTGAAACTAGCAGAATTTGTTCTTCTTATAAATTCAAACACAAATACTCGTCTACAAGTTTTCTTAAAGCTGCACAACAAACCAATGGAAAAGAAATCTTAAAAAAAAAAACCTTTATAAGCATTAAGATGCTCTTTGAGAAATTATAGATTAAGATGCACATTTAACCCTTACACTGTTGCCAGCTCTGTGTAATATTTACTTAGGCACAAAATTAATTTAACCATTAGCCTGCTTGGCAACTGAACACATTGATGCAACCCGTCGAAACCAAGATCTGAGTGTCATCTGATCATGGTCTGGAGTGTTTACTTTTCAGTCAGTAAATTTACCTTCAAATGATGAAATGGTTTTGTCCAGATTGAAAGATGGACAAGTCCATTTTAGATATTAAGCATGGTAAGGGTTAAAATTTGAAAAACATAGTACAAAAGTAGCCTACATTATACTAACTGGCAGCTTCCATGAGATTATTGTCACCATACAAATGTGTATTTCACTTGAAACCCTTTCATAAGAAAGCATCAAACCATATTAATTATAATCTTTAATCTACCATTATAGCAGATATACTTGTTTTGCTAAAAATTGGCATCCATATTGGACACCATCTTGGATTCTGAAGCGTTGTGAAAGCAGAATTTTGAAAGATTTGGATTTTTGTTAAGAAGAGACAATAGACTTGCTCTGGAGTGTCAGATTTATACAAAAAATTGATTTGATGGACCAGAACTCTTAGGCTATTTCATATCGATCATTATCCATTTTTTTTTTTACAGATTTTTGTATATTTCAAATGTCATTAAAAACATTAAGACATCAAACAAATATATGACTGTTTTACAATAGGCTGATACTCAAAATCACATAGAACAATCTATCTAGACGAAAGCTGATATTTAATCTGAGTATCAGTGTTTTAACTAACACAACATCTTATGAAGTGTAATCTTTATATAGAAATAGAAGCAGAAAGACTAGTTCCACTCTAAACCCTGAAAATATCACTAAAATGTTACATAAATTGCGGACACACTTAATACCCATCTCTCAAGCACTTCATAAATATTCTTTTTAAAAGTTGCCATCAGATTATTTAGTAAAACATGTTTGCCATGTTTCAAGATTTTATCTTATGCTACTAAATTCTTTGAATACAAGCATGTTTATCACCCTAGGGGAATGATAAACACAACTTATGTCAATGTAGGCAATGATACATGCAAATTTAAACTGTATCTTCCTACCCTTAAACTTTAGATAACATCGTTATTATGACTATTTTAGACACCAGTATGCCCTTCACTAAGACCATCAAGCTTCCATATGTAAGGTAGCTAGTTTTCTCACAGAAAGAAGTTACTTGCTGGATTCCAACCCAAAGGCACCAGAGGCGAGTGATTCTGAGTACGCAAATTGTCCATTGGAGCCCCAGAAAAGGACTAGTCCTTTAAAGCTTTTTCCTCTATTAAAGTTTAGAGGTGCTATTAGCTATCTATCATAAATGTAATTATTGGACATAAATCTGCTCTGATGGAAATAAATCCATAATTAGTATAAAATGATTAAAATACACTGAAAAAGGAATATGTTAGCAAATAAAAAAGAAGTAAACACACATGAAGTAAGCACACAGTTAAACATAAATTTCAAAAACATAACAGGACACTTAATGTGAATGAATAAGCACGCAATTAGCATAGTGAAAAGGACACATGAGAAGCATATCTGTGATTTCTTTGCAAGCAGGAAAACATAATATGCTGAATGACAATGTGTTAGGATAATGAAAATGTGTAAACACAAACACGTTTTAGCGATTGCAAAAAATTAGTAACAAACCTTCATCCCATAGTGATGTAAAGGTGAAAGCACAATATAGTTAACATGCATAAACTATGACATATTAGTGACAATTTCGTTAGCATAGCAGTTACGCTACAAACTGGCATATTAAAAAAAACCACACAAGTGTGAACTGTGAGTGACTGCTTATTCATAATGTGTAAACAACTATACATGGCGTATATGTGTAAACACAGGCATGTTAGCGCATACTAGTGAAGCTTCAGCAACTGATACTGTACCTCATCCCGTTCGTGCTCTTGTTTTTTAAATTGGTATCCAGTCCATTGATGCTGAATCTTTTTGGCAGCACGATTTTCTCGGAAGTGTTCTACTTTTTCATTTTGTAATTTCTAAAATATGTGTGTGTGCAAATTACAAAAAGAACAACTATAAATCTATGTGCAGGCTATAAATAATGTTGTTTCTAGGAAAAAAAAGAATATCAAAACATTTTTTTAAGAGTGACCATTTATGGCAAAAAAGAACCCATTTTTAAAACCAATAAGAAAGTTAAGGTGGAGTTTTAATTCAACTTTATAACGAAAATAATGCCTGCTTTCATTATAATATATACTGCGCTCCTCTTACTTTACGGTACTTAATGATTTGAAACACGAAGGAAAACAACAAATTTACGGTACAAAAAATTGTAATCAACTGTAAACATTTAAGTGCATTGTATGTTCTGCTGTATGACACAAGGAAACAACAACATATTCAATCCAAACCAGATTTAATTGGCCAGATGTAGACCATAGGTTGGCCATTTTGAATACATTATGTCATTATTTAAATCGCATAAAAATGTGTTACACTCTAGTTTTTTTTTTCATGTTTTGTTTAAAAATTACTAAATGTTATATTGCTCTTTTTTAAATCATCAAATTATCATTACATCTAACAAACAAAAACATTTGGAAAATGATGATAGTTTCAGATGTACGCACAAATTTTAATATTTACTATTATGCCTTTTCGCAGAAATGAGTAAAATGTTATTCTGTTTTACTTTAAAATCAACAGATTTAAAATATTTTGCACAAAAACTTTTTTTTGTTTTCAAGTGCACAACTAAAATGGGTCAATTTTGACCAAAATTATCACTGGTCACATGGAAATAAGCCATTACCATGAAATAAGCGATGATGCGAAATTAGTGATGTTGACTGTACATAATATCATATAATCATTGTTATCAACATAAACCATACACCTTTTTAACACTGAACTAATTTTGTATTTATCTGTGCACATTTTGACAGAGAAAGTCCCTTTCATTTTGAATGATCACTATTTGTGTTATAAAAAGATATATGTTATAAGAAAATATTATAGAAATGATCATGAAAGAGTAAGGGCAATCAACTATTCAGGCCAAAAATAAATGAATGCCGGACAAATTATTCTTAATCATCATATATTATATTCCTATCATATTTAATCTGCCCAATTTATCATTATTATGATTGAAACTAGTTGACTTTAATAAATTATCTTAACCTATTACATGGTGATGTGTGGTTTCTCTTAGTCCTTCCCTGACCTTAGTTTATAAAATATAGAAATAAACATTGGGTTGGCACAAGTTCTTCAGACATCCAGAAAAACCTCAAACTCTCCCCATATGACTATTATAGTGCTTTTCTGACATATAACCAAACCAGAGAATAAGAAAATGTGCTTCCTATTTGTGCAATGGTAGAAGCACACTTTAGACCTAAACAACCTTAATCTATGTATCCATAGCAACCAAACAGTGCATGTATTTACAGTGTCTCCAAGCTCAAGGCCCTCTTCATCTTCTACTACCCCTTCCTTTCCATTAAACTTTTTCTTTGCTTTATCAACAGTAACATCAGCCACAACTTCCCGTTTTAAATCCTTATTTTTTCCCCTGCCCGATTCCAATGACTTTTCCATCAATGTAGTCAAATGTTGATTACTCGGCAGTTTGTCACTGGTTATTTCAGGCTTGGCGGAGCTAGGCAAGGTGGAACTTAAATTTCCGGAAAACTGATTCTGCGGAACTTTGTTGTACGAATGCTCTGGCTTCAGTGTATGTCTCAATGGAGACACGCCCTTTTGTGGACTGAAACCATCAGGCATTTCTGACCTCAGGGGCTGCACTAAAGATTGGCTTAAAATGTTACGTTTTGTTGGATCAAATGAATGAGATTGACCCAAGGAAAGCTGAACATTTTCCTTATTTTGAACTGCTTGACTTTTTACCTCTGTTCTGTTCTGCTCCTTTTCAGCATCATTTAGTTTTTTCTTTGTTGAAAAAGAAAATTAAAGAGGAATATAAATGATGATCTGGTTAGCCTCTCTTTTAACATTGATGAAGTATTGTGTATGTGCAATTATTGTCTTAAATTTGTACTAAAGGGACTCCACTGAGGTTTTTTGACGTGATGGGAATGAAAATATTTTATTTTGAAGATTAATGTTTCACTTGATGTAGGTCAAGAAAAATAGCCTGTGTGCAATATTTTGGTTTATTTGATCACTCTGTTTTTCCAACAAAAATGTTCAAATTGGGAAAAATTACCTAAAGGTGAAAAGTGTTGCAATGCTTTTCACTTAAGTTGTTCTTAGAAAAGGACAAAATTAAATGCAATTTTAAATTTATTTCTGAGTATATTTCTTAAATGTTTTTTTTACATATTTTTCTGTTAAAGTGCCCATGTTGATCTATGTAACAAATTCAAATTTTATGTTTTTAGGCTTTTGGACCTCAGTGGAGTTCCTTTAATATTAATCAGCTCCTGTACAAAATATCTTATCATCACTTTCAAGGGAACTGTGTATCTTATTTAATTCTTAAAATCTTCATAACCCTTTAAACTTCATCAAAAAGTAACAAATATTGATTTGTACATTTTAAAGGCCTATTAAGCTCTAAAAATGATATCATTTTTATTTTTCAACATGACAAGTTTGCAGAAAGTTACTCATTGGTCATATATTAGCTGAAATATCCTTGTTTCTTTTTTTGCTCTTAAGTGCTCTTTTATTTAGTACTTTGTGTTGAAATCAAAATACAACTGCTAACTTTATGACAAGTAAATTTCACATGCAGCGCTATCTTTATTATCAAGTATAGTCATCTGACAAGCTTTTAATGCATTATTTAAACTGCTCTAAAACCCATGTTTGCCTTTTTAGAGAAGAAAATATATACATTTGCACTTGTTTCTGACACTTAAAGTGCCTTTAATATCTATCAAAATTTAGAATTTCAAAAATCTCTTTGTAATGTTTACTTAGGAAAGGCGTTGAATTAATTTTAACAAATAATTTATCTGTATTAATTATTTTCTCAAAATGACTAGTAACAACAATATGCTATTAAACCTATCAATCCATGTTTTGGAGTATTAAAATATAATATTGTGTGATATAAATGTGAGATAACAACATTCTCTATCTAAATGTTTTAGAAAAATACATGTATATAGTATATTATTTCTAATCTAATGACAATATACATGACAATATACATGTACATGTATATACAACACAAAACATTCCATTGGTTTCATAATTATAAAACTGATCATTTTCTTCCCCAAAGAATTTTTACAATTTTTTTTGAGAAAGAAAGGAGATACTCCCATTTCTGCCTAAAACTTTTTCTACAAATCTTTTGGAAAAGTGACAATCAAGATGTACTGATAATTAAGTAAACTTTAACCCATTATATCTGCATAACTAACTTGCCTTTCTTTCAATTATAAATAACTTAATATAAATTATTCTTAACCTGCATTTGTTTAACTGATTTACCCTGATTTGAAACAGTTTAAATGATTTGTGTATTAAAATACAAAATATGAGCTGCAAACAGCATAGAGCCTGGTCAGACTACAAGTATGTGCAGGCTGGCCTGGCTCTATACTGGTGGCAAGGCCAATCACCATCAGTTCCAGGTTTAAGGTTAAAAAGAATTTTATTATAAAAATGTTCAAATTAAGCAGCCAGCTGTAAAAGGTCAAAGATCAGATATAAATGATAATGAAGATTGACTCTAAACTGAAGTGGTGATGGTAAAACATCAAAACTTTGAAATCCAATAATTGCATGGCTTAATAGTTCATATTAAACAGTTTATTTTTTTACTTGTATTTATAATCACCTGTACAGAACCAACAGTAGTGTATATTCAAAAAGGCACTGAAAATTTAGGAATTGATTAAACAGGTTGGTGTTGTAAGACAGCAGACTATCCTACCAAGGTCAGTTGCACTTAAAATGTTTTAAATTGCTTATCCAAATAAAATATGAATGTACCCAGCAAACTTTATACGTAAATATTTTGAGCAAAAACATTTAACTTTTAACATGTATAGCACCTAGGACATGGCACTATCAACTTGTTTTCTATTATCAGAGATGACTTATACAACAACAATATAAACATGTGATTAGAATTTGTACCTGTTGATCTTGCCTATGTGACTTCCAGTGTCTCTGTATTGTTTTAGCTGAACGATTTTCCTGGAAGTCTCGAATCTTCTGTCGTCTTGCAACAGACACGCTACTCTCCAGTGATGGTCTTCTCTTAGCACTCGGAGGCCGTTTTTCTGATCTTCCACTGTCTGGACGGTCAGGGCGCCCTCTGGGTGTCCGATCTCTTGCTGTAGGCGGTCGGTCGTCAGAACGCGCACTAGTTGGCCTCTGACCTCGTGTACTGGTTGTTCGAGCACTTGGCGGTCTACTGTAAAATATACAGACATATTTGATTTAGAAACACAGGTCCTGAACATTCATGAAAATGTTCTTCAAGAGACAACAGGAGTTTAGAAATGGAGAGGAGGTCAAAACTCATGAATATAATTATTTGATGCGACCTTGGTGCTTTCCTAGCAAAAACATAAAAAAAACGCTTATACTTACCATATGAACTGTTGAAAATACAACATTAACAAAATTTACATACTATGAAAACTGACATGTCATAGGCTTAGCAAACACATCCAGCCATTTTCTTATTCTTATCCTAGATTGACTCTTTAACTTAATTACTAAAAATATTTAAGTTTATTACTTAATAACAAGAGCACCCCATGCAGTGTTAATTATCATCTGTTAAGGGCAACAAATATCAATAACCAAATTTGAAGACAACAACCAAAAATTCTCAGTTATAAAGGGGCATAACTCCAAATATATAGCTTTCAGTATAATTCCCCTTGTCTTACAACTGAACCATGTCAAGATAAGCAAGTATACCAAGTGTTTATATACAGTCGACTCCACTTATAACGAACTCGCTTATAACGAATTATCGTTAATAGCGAACTAAATCTGACATCCCCGGCCGATTCCTTCTTTATTTTATATTAAATCACATCGCTTAATACGTACTCGCTTATAACGAATTTTCGGCTATAACGAACCATTTTTTAAGCCACAAATGACGGAAAACATTTAAATTTCCTCGGTTTTAACAATCTGTTATACTTGAAATATCGGGATGCGCTCGATTAGGATCAGTACATGAATAACGCTATCCGATAATTAAACAATCGAATGATTGTACAGGTTAGTTATGGCTTCAGGGAATAAAGATTTTGATAAAATGTTCTCACAATATAATTTCCTACTTGTTACGGACAATTTGTATTTCACACCCTCAGTTGATTGCTGTAAATACCCGATTATTGCCAATAAATCAATTTATTTTGTTTGCAATATTTACCAAACGAAAATAAACAAAGAAAACAAATGGTAAGAACTTTATAGACAATTAATACATGAATAAAAACTTGTACCATGTACATGATATATTGCTCAATAAAATGCATCGCATTAAATAACCGCTGAAGTTAATACCGGTTACATTGGTAACCAGTGAAGAGTATGGCTTTTTCACGGCAAATTTTCCCATCCAAACAAGTCAGCAAGTTGCTGCTATTTCGCTTTTAGCGAACTTCGGATATAACGAACGATATTTTAATGTCCCATTGAGTTCGTTATAACCGGAGTCGACTGTAAATCATACTTAAATTTATACTTAAATGTATGAATAATGGACTACAATTAAGTTTTTGCATTATGCCATTGATTTCAATGATGCAGGGTTCATAACAGCTAGAATTCTTTTTTTCCAAACTGGCAAGCTAAAAATGAAGCTGAGCATTATAAATACCTTGATCTGGACCCTTTTTCTGTTCTTTCGTCCATTCTATAATCATAGTCTGCCGTTCCTGAACCTACCATTTTCCTACAATAAAAGAAACATCAATATTTGGTTATGTCATACTATTTAAGCTTAACTTAACTTTTCTGTATACACAAAACAAAATTTTGCAAAAACTGGGATTATATTCAATTTCTCCTAAGTCTTGCTTTTCAAGGACTTATACATTATAAATGCTAAAATGGTGTTATATGAGGGAAAGGATTTGACCTAAGTAAGAATCTTATTAACAATCCCATGAATTTCACCAATACAGAAAATATCTTAACTTTAAATACCACATATTAGGTAATCACATAATAGGTCCTGTGACACACATTATCAGTTGAAATAATTGAATTGTGTTACTATTTATAGTAACAAGTGATGTTATTATTTATAGTAACAAGCAAATTCAATATAATTAAGTAAGTATCAATACAACATACTCCATTTCCTCACAACGTTTCTTCCATCTATTTTTCTCTGCAGTAAGCTGTTTAATTTTGTCATTTTTCTTCTCTAACAGTTCAAGTAACTCTGATTCACGTTTGTCTAGCTGGTCTAATCTGTCTTCAAGACTTCCATCCAATGCCACTTTACCTGTTGTAATACATTGTAACATAAAATATGTTACACAGGACTGGGGGTCATTTCGTTATACCTATATTTAATAAGTCTAAAAAGGTTGTATAAAAAGAGCATTATAAATGGTAAGGACTCACTGTCATGTTTCTGTGAAGTGATTTATGTTTGTCTAATATAAGCAAATAAAAAACAAAATGTGAAATTCTTATATCAGAAGAATGCTAGAAAATAATAGAACAAGAGCTGTCGGTAGGACAGCAACGCTCGACTATTCTTAGTGCTTGATAGTAAAAACCACATGCTTGATACAGTTACCTCCTCCAGTTTACAGGTTGGGGTCATGATGGTGAACAAGTGTGCAAAGTTTCAAAGCCATATGTCCATGGACTTTGAAAATATTTGAGGTATTACAAAAACTTTAACGTAAATTCTAAGTCGAAAAAGGGGCATAATTCTGTCAAAATGCTTGATACAGTTCCCTCCTCCTGTCTACAGGTTGGGGTCATGATGGTGAACAAGTGTGCAAAGTTTCAAAGCCATATGTCAATGGACTTTGAAAGTATTTGAACTATTACAAAAACTTTAACGTAAATTCTAAGTCGAAAAAGGGGCATAATTCTGTCAAAATGCTTGATAGAGTTACCTCCTCCTGTCTACAGGTTGGGGTCATGATGGTGAACAAGTGTGCAAAGTTTCAAAGCCATATGTCAATGGACTTTGAAAATATTTGAACTCTTACAAAAACTTTAACATAAGTGGTTACGCCGACGCAGACGCTGACACCGACGCCAACGCTCGGTGACTTCAATAGCTCTACTTATTCTTATCGAATAGTCGAGCTAAAAATGGCAAAAATTGCTGAAACAATTATCGGTGCTTAATTTTTTTACAGTAAAACCTGTGTTTAAGCCAATCTCCCTCCCCCACTAACCATCCCCTCCCTCACCCCAAAACACAACCACTGTTTGTAAATGCTAGCTACATGTAGTACTCAGTCTGTATTTTTCTATTTAATAAAACCAGCATGACCTGATATGAGCATGTTCAAAGGGTCAAACTGTTACTCTCGGTAAAAATATTATTTTTTATTGCTTCCTCAAACAGATTTTACAGTACATTGTAATTGGTATTTAAAATAAAATAAATTACTTCATACAAAAATAGGACTGAAGACTGAACTCACATAGCAATGTACATGTATACATTAACAAATATCATTTTTATCACTTAAAGGCCCATCATGCCCCAGAAATGGTTTTACATTTATTTCTCAAAAACTTCCATTTTTGGTGTCCATTTTTAAGCAACATGTCTGAAAGGTTTTAATATGTTTATCTTCAAAGGTATCCTTGTGAATTTAATGTAAAACTTTCAATAATATGACCATAATAATATTTCAGCCAGGTGTTTTTAAAATTAAATGTCCCTGATAAGCCATATGTTAATCTTTTGGCACAAGATTTATCATTTATAACAAATACAACATACATTCAATTACACACTTGCAAATAAATCACCACATAAAAATGTTATTTCAGTTATGATAGGCAGTTATGGTTTGGCACCATCCCATTTTGCAGAAAAAAAAATGACATTCAAATAGTCCTAACTTTTGCATCAAGGGCCGAGGAGTAAAAAGTCATTTTCAAGGATGCATGGCAACATAATGCTAGTAACAAACAATTAAAATATTCTAAGAGAATCAATCTTGTATTGTAGAAAAAGACAACATGCGTAGACAGCCTAGTTAGGGGACAAGATGACTCATTGGAAAACAGACTGATAAACAGTTTATCCTTTATTTAAATAAAGAAATTGATAATTTAGTATAATAGGTGCTAGTGTTTCCATGGTATCACCAAAACATGTAAATAACTGACAATAACTGATGTCATTTTATAATGTGCTGATCATGATTTTGCAGTTTTTATTTCAACATTATTTTTTTTATTTGCTTTGCAGTTTTAAAACATTTTTTATTTGCTTTAAAATATCATATGATAAAATGATAAATGCATATCAAATATTACGACAAAAATTGCAATGATACAAAGTATTCTCTTATGCTTTATTTCACCCTCAGTCTTAGTTTTCTCTCTATCCAATCCATAAAGTTGATTTCCAGATTCAATACAACACATTTCTTTTGCTTCTTTGTTGATCTTTTAAATCATCTTTGTTATGACTGTTTTCAATCAAACATTTTTAACCCTTAACCTGCAGAATTTCTAAAATGAGCCGTGTCATGACAAAACCAACATAGTGGGTTTGTGACCAGCATGGATCCAGACCAGCCTGCGCATCCGCGCAGTCTGATCAGGATCCATGCTGCTCGCTATCAGTTTCTCTACTTGTAATAGGGTTTGTAAGCGAACAGCATGGATCCTGATCAGACTGCGCGGATGCGCAGGCTGGTCTGGATCCATGCTGGTCGCAAACGCACTTTGTTGGTTTTGTCATGACACGGCTCAAATGGTCTTGACTAGTTTTCAGTTTTGGAACTTCCATTATCAATGTTAGGGTTATCATGATAAAAATTTAGGGTTAGTCAGTCGACAGTATAGAACCTTTTGTTTCTTTCTTTTGTTTTGTTTGGATTTATGTTACACCAACACTGTTTAGCTCATATGGTGCCAAAACAGGAAAGATGATTTTGGCAAACCTCGGGTGTTACAACCTTTGACCAACTACACCTGCTGGAGCTAAGAGATGCACAGACTCAAGTTATTCAAACCAATTTAGTCGCCTCTTACGATCACACAGGGTTAGACGATTGCTGAAACTCTGATGACTCAACCTGTTAGGCAACCCCTCAGCCACAAGGGGAAGTATAGAACCTAGTCATGATGCAGGCCTGGATCTATGCTGGTGGCAAAAACTAATCACATTCCATTCCATCAAGGTATTATATAACAATAATCAAAAGTACACAATATCATACCTTGAACATGGTTTGCCTTGCTTTCATATGATATAATAGAAGAGCCATCCATATGTCTCTCTGATTTCTCTAATCTCTGTTTCAAATAAAATACAACCAAATATTAATATACAATTAACTTATCTCTGAACCAAATATTATACAATTAATTTATCTCTGAACTAAATATTATACAATTAATTTATCTCTGAACCAAATATTATACAATTAATTTATCTCTGAACTAAAAATTATACAATTAATTTATCTCTGAACCAAATATTATACAATTAATTTATCTCTGAACCAAATATTAATATACAATTAACTTTTTTTTTTTTTTTTTTTTTTAATGAGTTTATTTAAGGTCGCCGCCAGAGAGCCCATATGGGCGACCATACACTCAAGTCGGGCCCTCCTAGAGCGTCCCGCTGAGATTTTTCGTCGTTTTTTTCCCAGCTTTTATTGGTGGAGGAAGACCCCAGGTGCCCCTCCGGGCATTATTTCAGGCACGAGCGGGCACCTGGGTAGAACCACCGACCTTCCGTAAGCTAGCTGGATGGCTTCTTCACATGAAAGATTTCAACCCGAGTGAGGATCGAACCTACAGCAGTGAGGGACCTGTGATCTCAAGTCAGCGACCTTAACCACTCGGCCACAGAGGCCCCTTTACAATTAACTAATCGCTGAACCAACTATTATACAATTAATCTCTGAACCAAATATTATACCATTTGTAAAAAAATCTCTGAACCAAATATTATACAATTAATTAATCTCTCAACCAAATATCATACAATTTGTAAAAAATCTCTGAACCAAATATTATACAATTAATTAAACTCTCAGTCAAATATTATACAATTCGTAAAAATCTTTGAACCAAAATTAATATACAATTTATTATTAATCTCTGAATCAAATATTATACATTCAATTAATTATTAATCTCTGAATAAAATATTATACAATTAATTAATAGCAGAATTAAATACATGAATAAAACTTAAATATAATGGACAAGGTAAGTCCAATAAAATCAGTATTGTACTCAACAAAAGTTACAGCCTTTTTTTAAAGCTTTTAAAATTTTTACCTTTTGACAGAAATTTGTTATTTTACATACAAAAAGGATTTGATATGGATTTTTTTACTCTGAAAATGAAAATGAGGCTAGACTGAGTTCAGTAATGATTTGATATGAATTTTGGACTGCTAAAATGAGACTGGATGGAGTACAATAGTGATATGATATGGACTGTCAAACATAAAATGGAGTTTAACTAATAAGACTGGATTAAATAATGATTTGTGTTGGGAGATCACATGATGCAAACCCTGGAAGTTCATTGTCAATGATTACATTTTACAAGGTGTGAAATAAAATTCAATATTTTCTAAACTAAATACACCTTGTAAAACAATTCATCTATCACTATACCAATCATAACACAATTATTTCATATTTATGTCAAAAATAATGAAACAAAAATAATGAAATTGAAAAGTCTCAAACTTAATATTGTATGAGTAGTTAGGTAAACAATACGAAAATATTGGCGAATTTCATAAAATTGACGAAAATTGCTAATATTTTCTCTAGTATAATATAAACCAACCTGTCATTAAATTCTACCCGTGCACAATTCTCTTAAATTTCCTCACATGAAATGTCTGGATTTTTTAATTTGTTAACTTTTCGACATGCGGAAATATCCGTTGATACAGTATAATGAAATTAAATAATATTTGTAACAAATGAATTGTATAAAATTATCAATCTATCATTGTAGCGAAATTGATATCAAATAAACATTACCTTTTCTAATTGTGTGACACACTGCAACAGTTCCTTCCTGCCCATATCCTCATAATCTTCTAAAAATAGAAACAAAAAAACCATTAAATATCTGGTAAAACAACATGAAACATCTTTAAAGGCCCACAACAGTTTCCAGAACACATTTCTTCAAAAAAAATGAATATTCTAAAAAATGAATAAGATATTAAGAAAATGATCACATTAAGAAATCAGACACAAATTTTTTGATACTGTTTTATCTGCCTAAAACTTGATACTTTTTGTATCAGAAAGGCAACTACAGCAAAATCATTATTATTCTTGAGGAAATAATTTTTGAGGTTCTTGTGAAAAATATAATCAAGGATAATAACTTCTAAGTTCTAATGTTTTTCTTCATTATATTTTTTTTATTATTTATTTTTTTGTCATGGCTTGGAATAAATATTGGCTAGCTTTCCTGAAAAGAATATTAGGCTCCTAGCATGCACCTCATATGTGTTTTATTATCATGAGGCCAATAATCTGTCACACATCAAGAGATCCTATATTGAATTAAAACTACCGGTACCTTAACATTTTTGAAACCACAATCACACACACTCTTAATTATACTTTGTTTTGGATTTGAATTAAATCCTCACTGTTTATGTCATAATTTCAGTGATTTACTAACTTTTAAAGGACAAAGACCACAGATGCCAATTCTTGCAGTATCTAAAACACAAGTTGACAGCCAAAATATTCCAACCCGCACCAGAGTTACAAACATTTAATGCTTTAAAAGATTTAGTGCTATGTGACGTTAAATCTTTGACATTCATGTCACATTTTCTAGTTTTAGAGGAAATGCCATTTATGTATGGCTTTTATTATTTGCAAAGGTGTTAATGCCAACTTCAGATACTCAATATGTTAGCATTTAGAAAATATGAGCTGCATCATGACAAAACCAACATTGTGCGTTTGCGACCAGAATGAGTCAAGACCAGTCTGCGCATCTGCACAGTTTGATCAGGATCCAAGCTGTTCGCTATCAGTTTCTCAACTTGTAATAGAGTTGGTAAGCGTATAGCATGGATCCTGATCAGACTGCGCGGATGCACAGGCTGGTCTGGATCCATACTGGTCACAAACCCACTATGTTGGTTTTGTCGTGACGCGGCTCAATCATTATCACTTAGGGCATCAGTGACATATCATGAGAAAGAAATTAACAAGAGCACTACATGGCGTGATGACCCTCGTTTGTAAAATACAACAATTTCATTGTGGTGGTGTTGGTAATTTTCACTCCGGATCACAGCAGTAAGCCGCATTGAATTTTCTAGAGTACAGCTCAGCCACCGCAACAACTACATATATCAACAACCAATTTATATAAGTATTTACCCTTAAAAGGGACAAAACTCCTAAAAAATATTGTATTCAGAATAATGTCCCTTGCCTTACAAATGTGCATTGTCATAATAATCAATATTTTAAGTGTGACATTGATATTGTTCATAGTTTTGATAATATTTTACTTACTTAGCAATTTTGTTCTTATTTGAAAATTGGAAAATATCCCTTCTAGAATTAAGGCCCTTTGTGTAACATCTGTATTTTGTCATGATTAGAAAGTTTTTTTGTTGATACCTTTTTAAGTGTTGGAATCACAGGGTATATTAAAGGTTTAGCACAACAACAATCACCGTAATAGCTCGACTATTTCTTTGCAACAGAAGAGCTAAATAAGAACAGTGAGTATGCATTTATATACCTTATTATATAATTCTATGAAACATAGAGTTAATTTGAGAAACTTTCATAAACAGAATTAACATCTTTTAGAAAAAAAAATCAATCCTTCAAAATTCAAAATGATACTAAAAGCTAATAAATTTTCACAATTATGTAAATAACTTAATTATTTTTCAGTTTTTGGAACACAATTCACTATGGCAATGAACAAACTGTAAAACAGGGTAAAGGATTGTAAGGGATTGTTTTCAAAACAATAGTAAACAAGAGATCAAAAGCAATCCTTAAACAAACAAATGTATAAATAATCAAAATTATTTCCGCTGCTATTTTGATGCTTTCATAACAATAATTTACCAGGCAAATCTTTCTTTTAACAAAAATAAATGGCAGTGGTGAAATTATTATTTATCTAGCATGATTAAAGTTCAGAATAATTCTCTACATCTCATGGGCAAAAACAATATCATTGCAAAAATAAGTGCCACTAAATGAAAAATAAATTAATAAACAAAGCATAATGTATGAAAAAAGCTTATGAAAAGTAAAAAAATATATATATATATATATTTATATGTAATTATATATAAATGTTATACAAGTTACAATAAAAATTCATGAATTTTTTTTGCATTTTTATAAATATTTATATATATAAGAATAAAAAAAACAACAATATACCGGTATGTATCTATATCTAGCAAATATACATAGTTTTATTGATATTATTATCACAATTTATTTAGTCTATTCTCTTCAAGTCATTGCCTCTATCATTGAATAATAACATTTTAATTTTTACCTTGCGTAAGTTGTAAATGATAGGACTTTGCCACCAATATACAGCCTAGCCAGCCTGTACCGTTCCACGCAGTCTGACCAGGCTCTATACTGTTGGCTGACTAACTTTAATGAGCCGCGTCATGACAAAACCAACATAATGGGTTTGTGACCAGCATGGATCCAGACCAGCCTGCGCATCCGCGCAGTCTGATCAGGATCAATGCTGTTCGCTTACCAACCCTTTTACAATTAGAAAAACTGATAGCAAACAGCATGGATCCTGATCAGACTGCGCGGATGAGTAGGCTGGTCTGGATCCATGCTGGTAGCAAACGCACTATGTTGGTTTTGTCGTGACGCGGCTCAAATTTTCATTTTGATATACCTAAAATTGATAATGGTCATTTCCAAAAATGAAAGCTGGACTAGACCATTTCAGAAGTTCAGGACGTTAAGGGCTTAAAAAAAAGATTAATACTAGTATTATAGTTTAGCTGACCTCAAACAACTTCTGTAAATAATAAAGCTGGACCGCAACAACTTCTGTTATTAAAAGTACATTTAAAAGTAAAAACAAAGATATACACTGTAACTTGAAAATAACAAAATTTATAATATTATGTTATATGTAACATGCCATATTATTATATCATGTATTATATTTAGATATATCATGAATGGTTATATGACCAAAAAACATTAGATATATCATGAATGGTTGGTTATATGGCAAAAAAATCATCAAATATAGCCTGAATATTATTGCTGAAACCAACACCTTGCCAAACCTGCAATATACCACAGATATTACACGGTGTATTGTGTGTGATAACTAACTTTTTAGTCCTGGTATCGTATAATTCTTCCTCGGGCTGTTTGTTTTACCTGTACAGATAAGTATTGCTATAAATACTCATAATGTATCAAAATAAATAGACGTTATACGGAATTCGGAAAAGTGGGTTTTTCCCAGCTAATCTATAGGTACAAACAAACTTTTACCATCATAGTTTCATGGTGCACTACCCGGCACAATAGATTTAATAAATCAACCTGTTTCGCTCATATTTTCAAAGCTGTTACTGTAAAAGTTTGTTTGTATCTACGTTATTTGCTGGGGAAAACCCCAAATATTCTTAATTCTGGAGTAAGTCAGTATTGCCTAATACATGTATATAGAAAAAAAAAATTATATTTATTAAGTCTCGTTAAACGTGTTTTATAATTGAGCATGAATAAAGATGTTTTAACTAAACTGGTCATGTAAAACTAATGTCCATAAAACTTCAGCCTTAAAAAGGTTTCACAAATGCTCAATAACTTAAAACAGATTGTAAACAGCTGGCAAAAAGTGCAAAAAATAATTTAATAAAAAAAGAGTTGTTAGTAGGACATCATGCTGGACTATTCTCAATGTTTAATAGTAAAACAAGAGCCTGGATAATGTAAGAGTTAACAAAGAGAATGCTTTCATTTACAAAAATACTATGTTAATATCTAATAATAATTATCGATGTCGAGAAATATTTGACATTTAAGGTAGCATTCTTGATAATTAATTAAAAAAAATACAATTATTATTCCTTTGTTTTAAAATATCATTCTTAACAACACGTTTATGGCATTTAAGATAGCCTTCTTGATAATTTCAATTTATTTATAGTTTCTTACGAACGAAAATGAAATCTTCAATCCCATCTATATAGTAGTAATATCACGTTTCTCAAAAAGACTTGTTAACAACTTACTATTTTGGGTCTACCTCCTGTGTTCTCGAGAGCGTTTTTGAGATCGTCCTTCAAACTTCGGTTCTCCGATTGGTAAATGTCATATAGTTTTATTCAGTCTTAAAATAGTTTCATTTAATGCCTTGACCTTAACCACTCCCTTCACGACCTGTGGGCCTGAAATGAAATTTTATCTTTAAGAATAGACAAAAGGATGGGTGAAATAAGGAAAATGAAAGACCAATTTCATGATGCTCTCATACTTTTATGTTGCTTGTTTTTTTAGACTGAAGTTATGTCAAAATTTGTAAATATCATCAAAATAAATCTGTATGTAGGAAAACTGGACACAGTATATTATCATACTATTTCTCCGTATGACCAATATATATAGGAGAAAAACTACTTATTTTAAGAAAGTTTGTTATTATTTTAACAGAGCACTTTTCTTTAAAGACCATTATTTTCTATTTCCAAATAATTAATTGGTCTTAAATGCAAGGTTTTAATGGTGCATGAAATATTTTGTTCGTTTCTGTTGGCATAAGAATATTAAAATTTTAGAAAATATAGAAATTAATAAAATTCATAAAGTAAATGAAATTATATCTTGACAGTAAAAGAATAAAATATAAATCAATATATATATAATGCAACAGGGAAAATATAGACAAATCTTTTATGTCATGACTTCCAAAAACACAAAAAAAATTGATTCCAAAATATGGTAATGAACACTGCTATCTGAAAGCCATGGAAAAACAACATTCAAGCATATCTTTATATATTTGATAAAAATGAATCAGGGGCATTTAAAATAGGAAATATGGTAAACAGCTTATTTACCTGTCAGTTTTATTCATCCCCGTATCTTTCGAGTGTTGTAACCGTATTATCTCATTATAAAACACCTCCATTTGTTGTTTCATCTCGTCAACCTTTGTCGTCTTTAAATCACTCTGAAGTTTTCTGTAAAATATACATAGTAGATATTAAATGAGTGTAGATTTAATACTTAATTTATTGAACAAGTTGAACAAAATCAAATTGTGTGGGCCTCTGGCAAGGATAATATTCTTTTATTCATTAAGTTCAATAAATTTAGTAATGAACCTACACGAATATAATATTTTATTCACATATATAAAATAAGAACAGTAAACTGTCAAAAAAGAGTCATTTTTCATTGTCACGTCTATAGTATAATGCTAATATTAGTGACCTTTAACCCTATGTTTAATATATAATGCAAATGATGTCATATCGATTTTATTAAATGGCCTCATTACACTCTTGTGCAGCAGTTTATGTAATAAATCACTATAAACATAATCATGACAGATCATTTCAGTATTTCTAGTTAAAGTTTCACATCTTTCAAACACAGAGCTGACATGTTATAACAGTTTCTTTCCAAAACTGGTAAAAACATTGTAGCTGTTTTAAATTGTGGAATTTGCAAGCCCTTTACATTTTGTACTTCTTTAATGTCAAAGTCTTTAAGTGAGTTACATGTAAGTTTGGAAAATAAAACAGCTCAGTTGACTTATTCCTAACCAACAGCATAGCTTAATCTTTTGGCAGCTTTAAAGCACACATTTCTTACAAAAATAATTTCAACATGAAAGTCCATTTGATTAAAGTTTATGAATTAAGATTGAAAATTTTCATATCTTATATTTTCTTATAAGTTTCGAAAAATGATATAGAAATAAGATACCCTTCAAAAGTTTGATTTTAAGATACAAACATTTAGAAAATTAATGAAGAACCACCATTCCCATAAACTAGCCAAACAGCTTCTTTACATCAATGAACAAAGTCCAAGTATCTGTTAAAACTTCACGTTAAACACCTGACATTTTACCCTGGCCACCATTAAGTTGTATAATGGATTAACCACATGATGTAACATCAAAATTCAAATGTTAATATTGACCGTTACTTAGAAAATCTAACGTCATTTTTTCTCTTTCTGTTTTATTTCTAACTTTTCGTACCTATGTTTGTTGTAGTTTATCAAAAAATTATCAAAAGTATGCAAAAAAATGAAAAATAAATTCAAAAGTTAAAAAAAATATATTTAAACAAAAATATTGTAAAAAATGTGTGGTGGCAGAGATCTCTGTATTGATACAGGGGAGATCACTGTGTAGGAGATTGTTTATTATCATCACAAGATTTGAAAGAGTTTTCTTACATGTACGCTGTTTCCTTGTCCCTCATCTGTGTTTCAAGTTTCAGGATTTTCTGTTTTAGACTGTGTATAACTGAACCGGAATCCGGTCTTTTGTCGGCTAATGTCCTCCGCAGCTCTTCACTCTGAAGATTTATAAATGTCATAAAAGTAAAAAAAGAAAACAAAAAAAAAAGCATTCTCTTCTAGTAAACAACTTGACCTTTTAATGTCCTGCACAGGTCTTCACTCTGAAGATTTATAAATGTCATCAAAGTAAAAAAACAACAAAAAAAACAAAACTTTTCTCTTCTAGTAAACAACTTGACATTTTAATGTCCTGCACAGGTCTTCACTCTGAAGATTTATAAATGTCATCAAAGTAAAACAAAAAAAAACAAAAACAATTCTCTTCTAGTAAACAACTTGACCTTTAACTCAAAATCCATTAATGTCCTTCACAGCTATTCACTCTGAAATTTATTAATGGACAAATAATTAATAACACAGTCAATTCAAGTAAAATAGTTGATCTTGGCTGTATATATCTTGGCTGAATTAACTATTGCATAGAAAAACAAGAGCTGTCCGTAAGACAGCGCGCTCGACTTTTTTATTGCTTGCCAATAAAAAAAGTTTTTGCAGTAAAAGGCAATACAAGAATCTCTGTATTTTTAAAGTGAACAATGGCCATGAGCATTAAGATTATTTAGTGAAGAATTATTTTACTGAATTGTGTGATACCCTTGAACACTGCAGCAAAGTTTGAAATGTTTAAGTCAAAAGAGGCTGGTAAGAAAGAAAAAAAAACTGAGTTGAGCCTTAAATAAATTTAATAGTATTAAACCCACTTTGAGAGAATAAGGTATTTTTACGTCACTCAGAACACCTTGGTAAATGACATAATAACATAATTTTCAAGAAATCTATGCCAAGGAAGCAGTATATTTTTGTACAATCAGCATAATATATAGATTTGACTTTGTATGTGAAAGTATTATAGTTACCTTATAATACAAAACATTGACAGTTAAGGGCCATAATTCAAATAAAATCTTTGACAGAATTACCTTCTCCTGGACATGTTTGGGAATCATGATTGTAAACAAGTATTCCAACTTTCAAATTAATATCTCAAACAGTTCAGTCAAAAAGTGGACTGGTACTAAAAACTTAACCAAGATTCTAAGTCGATAAAAGGCCTTAATTTTTAAAACAAATCCTTGACAGAGTTACCTTCTCTTGCGTACAGATGGGGGTAATGATGTGAAATAGCATTAAAAGTTTCAAAGCAATATCTCAAAGGGTTAAGGCAATAAGTGGATTTTACCCATATTCAATGTATTTTCTAAGTCAAAAAGGGGCATAATTCTGTCAAAAACCTTGACAGAGTTATGTCCTCTTGTCTGTTGATGAAGGTCGTGATGGTAAACAAGTATGGTCAGTTTCAAAGCAATACCTCCAATGGTTTTGAAATAAAGTGAGGTGGTACAAAAAACTTAACCAAGCTCAATACACTTTCTAAGTCAAAAAAGGGCCATAATTCTGTCAAAAACCTTGACAGAGTTATGTACTCTTGTCTGTAGATGGAGGTTATGATGGTGAACAAGTATGGTAAGTTTCAAAGCCATACTTGTAATACTTCTGAAATAAAGTGGGGTGGTACGAAAAACTTAACCAAGGTGTGACGCCGACGCCGACGCCGGGGCGAGTAGGATAGCTCCCCTTTTCATAGAAAAGTCGAGCTAAAAATGTCAATTTAATTTTACAAACTTTTTCTCAAAATTAGAAAAATTTCAAAAAATTAGTTAAAAATTTACCTATGTACAAGTCAGCCTATTTTTTAATTAAAGGCCAGTTACATGTAATATGAAAACAAACTCTATATGAATTTATATAACAGAGCAAGATTGTTTGAAATTGTTACTCTTAAACTTGAAAATCACTCCATGAAAGTCACTATAGAACCAGTCTGCTATGAGGGAGAGCATCAATCAATTAGTCATCAATTAAATTCAAAATATAGAATATTTAAATAGAATTACAACATCATAACAGCCTTAACTTTATTTATCATTTAAGGTGATTCAGATTCTCATCTGACATCTTCACTACAGTCTACATGTACGTGAATTATTAGTGGTCTGAAGCCAAATTTAAACTGCATCAGATTCATCGTATTTTCTGATGATTCACTTGTGTACCAAATATTTTTTAACACTTCATTGCCTTGTGAAAGAGTCATAATCCAGAAAAAAGTCCAATGAAACAAAAACAAAATACAGATAAGAAGGGACATAACTAAGAACAAATAAATGAATATGAAGACAAATTTTAACTCAAACTGTATTTCATGATATTACAACAGTGTGCCAAAAAAATATGCAGTGACATTGACCCTGGGGGGAGGGGGGAGGGTCAAAAGCAATGCCAAGCATTGTTTTAACAGAAGCAGCTATATTCTACTGTGTATATTTCCAAAACAATACCTCATTTCTAAATCAAGTTTTCATTCAGAAAACATTTTTTAATTTTTGTAACAGTAACCTTGACCCGAGGAAGCAAAAAAACAATCCAAAGCAAAGTCTCAACATAAGTTGCTTTATACCAAGTTGTAAGGTCTCCACACATGTTTGCCATGTACCAACTTTGATTACAGTATCTCATTTGTAACTTTAATTATCATTGAAAAACTATTTTCTATTTAGTAACAATGACCTTGGCTCTAGGGTGCCCAAAAGCAATCCCAAATGAAGTCTTCACAATAGCTTGCCATATACCATATTTGATTACAATTTCCATGAAAATTATATAAACAACTTATACATAAACAACTTTCAAATTTTATTCATCTTCAATAAAAGTCTAATTACATCAAAGCTAGTTGATAATGTCATTTCCACGAAAAATATTTTAACAACCTATATTGTTTATGACGTCTCACCAAAGGGCTAGTTGATAATGTCAGTTCCACGAAAACTATATTAACAAACTTTACTGTTTATGACAACTTACCAACAAGGGTTTCAGATCACCCTTTGTGTTAAATGCTAGTAATAACTACAGTCCAAGAAATAATTCTAACAAGCAATTATTATAGTATTGCAAGCAATCCATAAGTCCCCTACCGTTTAGAACCCCTGCAACATTCTGAAGGGCCATTGTTTCATAAAAATATTTTCAGTACTTTTGCTTTATCGCGGGATCCAAATTTGGGGACAGAGACGTACTTACGAAATGGTACTTGTGTGACTTTTCCTTTGATCCTTTTAGCCATTTTTAGTCACACAAGGCTTAAAAAAAGACACACAAGTAAAAACGGAATGAATAGGATCAAAGAGAATTTACTGTTACCTATTGTTCTCCAAGTCACACAAGTACCTCTGGGTTTGTACGGACAGAGAGACGGACGGACGGACAGACGGACGGAGGGTAAACCTAAAGTCCCCTCTAGTTTAACCGGTAAGGGACTAATAACCATGGTTAAATAGGAATATCATTATTAAACATAAAACATTAAAAACTCATAGACTATACTCCTGATTGCATAGTACTAGTACTGTTCATGACATCATTTTTATGTTATCTTACCACACATTGATCAAGTATTGTTGAAACAAGTGCATCTTATATGGTATCAGAAATTCTGTCTATTATTTCAGTAAAAAGTGGGCAATGTGGCAAAACTACCGATGTTATTTAAAGCTACTATCCAACACAAAACGGGTAAAAAAACATCAACATTTGTTTTTTTTCTTTTGATGACATTTTAGTTCAAAATCGCCAAAACTACAATGTGTGGGATAGAATCACAAGCCAAGTGCTCATAAAACCAAGTGCGCTTCATACCCATGTTGAAGATGACAAGTTATATATGAAGAAAACAACCTTAAACACTCAGCCGTCCTAGATGAAAGTGTTTCAATATTTTAATATTTACCTTTTGCGGGTTCAGTAAAGAATCAATCTCCTTTTCTTTCTTCAGATTATCTTCTTCTAGTCTACGTATTTTAGCCTTCATGTTATTGGCATCTTGATTTAATGCCCCAACTTGTTTCTTGTACTCAAGAATCTGTTCATAATATTCCTCCTGAGATTTGTAGGCCGGTGTCCCTGGTGATGCTTTACCTGTTTCAAATGAGTCAAGCTTTTAATTCAACCAGAATTAATAACGAATAACTGGCAAATAAAAGAAACAAATGCAACAAGGAAAAAAACGTACTTCTGTCAAATGTGTTGGAATCTATATAAAACTCTTAAGCTGCCTGCACAATATATGCATATTATAGGGCTTGCTAAAGAAGTTTTAATTTCAAAGATATATTAAGAACAGAACATATTGTGCTTCCTTAAAATACTACAATGCAATAATTATATGTAGGAAATTGTAAAATAACATCTATTTCTAACACCATTGACCTTGATCTTGACAATTCCAATCCAAATTTTATTGTATGTCAAATGTATGTTCCTATCAAATAGGAAAAACATAAGTCAATAAATAAAGGCTAAGTGTGCAAGAGTAAAAATCTATTTTTTAGCACAATGACCTTGACAATGAGCCAAGCGACCCCTAACTTCACTCAACGCAAGAGGACCATCAAAGGTATTAACCTACCATTATGAATTAGAATGGAGGAAACGGGGGATGGGGGGGGGGAGAAGTAAGAAAGGGCAAACCAGGGACTATTATTATGCTCCCTGGATTGTTAAGGATGCATTAAAATAATTAGTGTAGAAAAGAAAAACATAAGTTGAAATTATAAGTTAAGTAATGCCAGTGCTTACATTTCAAGAAAATCAAACTCTTGACTAGTGGAAGAAGATTGTGAGAATACAATCATGATATAAACTTTTCATAGGAAATTAGTCACATGCAAATTCAAAATGCTAACTTACTCATGGGATCATTTGCCTTATGTTGTCTTTCTGTTCCGGCCATCTGTCTCAGGTATGCCGGTGTACTCAGGTACGGCATGTCTTTATCCCTCGGTCGCTTACCACTAAATGTGTTCATTCCGGTGCTTTCTGTCGTGAAACCTGTCAGATAATATACATACATTAATATTATGAATCGAACATTCATCATCCTGTCTTTTTTTTATGGTATGATGTAGGAAAATGCCTCACATAAAACAAAGATAACTTTAACCACATCTCGAAAGATTACGATCAAAAGCCAGGCACTTGTACAATATTGATGAAGCTAGCAAGTCCAATCTTTAAAAAAAGTAAAATCTGGACGGAAATGTTTAATGATTTAACCTAAATCGTCAATAAGTAAAGGGTCATAACTCAAAGTCACTGGACAATTTTTTTTCTTTGGTCAAAATCAAATCACAATCTATCCAAAATCATTTCATTAACAAAAGTACAACAACCTGTTTTTCACAAACCTTTTGTACGAAAATTTAAAAAAAATCGTCACAAAAAGCTTATGTCAAAACTATTTACACAGCTGTATTATAATCCAATATTCTTTCATTGTATTAACGAAAATGTAATGTAAAGATGAGACAAAAAAAAAACACACAAAAAACAAAACAAAAACCAATCTGGAAATTGCCCAACCTGTTCCAGTCTTCCTGAGAGTATCAATCCAATATTCACTGACTGTTTTGTGACGTGGGCTTGTAGGGTGTCTGTTTGAAGCTAATCCAACTGTAATAATAGTAAGCATCCTTTCTCATTTAAAACATTTAATATACTGTGAATATAAATCATATCAGAAGTTTTAAAGATTCTATATTGTACTCATAACTATTACTGCATTAGATACATTTTAATCGCAAAATAATTTTTACAATGAATTCATAAGTAGCATCAAGTTCAGGAAAAAAATCTGGTAAATAATCCCTTAGCCTGTGAGTGGCCACTGAACCTATCTTTGTACCAGTGACTATGTAGACCAAGATCAGCTGGCATATACCAGTGCATGCCATTCTTATCATGGTCTGCACTGTTCGCTATGCAGTGAGTACATATTTTGTAATTTTTTCTAAAAATATTGAATGTTTTAGTCAAGATTAAAAAATTGAAAAAGTTTGTTAAAGATATTTAACATCGTACAGCTTCAATATAGGTTTCAATGGTCAAATCCTGGTAAAGTTAAAACCTCACAGACTTTAACAAATAATTGAGCCGCGTCACAACAAAACCAACATAGTGCGTTTGCGGCCAGCATGAATTGAGACCAGCCTGCACATCCGCGCAGTCTGATCAGGATCCATGCTGTTCGCTATCAGTTTCTCTACTTGTAATAGGGTTGGTAAGCGAACAGCATGGATCCTGATCAGAATGCGCGGATGTGCAGGCTGGTCTGGATCCATGCTGGTCGGAAACCCATTATGTTGATTTTGTCATGGCGCAGCTCATATGTCTTTGAAATACAATGATAAGTGTAATGAGATACGAAATACTCAGCAGTAAAAAAAACCTGAATGAAAGAGTGAAAACATGCATATAATGTTAAAAGATCAACAGTTTCTAAAATTCAAACAAATTCTAGGCAGGTTGTAAGTCCCTTTTTAACCTCTATACTGCAGGAAGCTATAAAATCTACCCATGCAAACAGTGCAGACCAATATCAGTGTAATCTAATAATGGTCTGCACTGTTCTTTATTCAGTGAGTACATATTTTGAAATTTTCCCTAAAAATGATAAATGGTCTTGTCTATATTGAAAGTTGATTTAGTTTATTTAAGATATTTTAAGAGCAGGGTATTGGTTAAATTGGTACACTTTATTCTACATGTACTTCTAGGTGCTCAATTACATTTGTAATGTGTTTAAAATGAGAAAAATGTGAACAATATGATAAGTGTTTCTAAAAGTGGAAATATATTCTGATCCAGCAGCGTTTTCAGACAACAAAATATGCCATTTTCAATTTCATCTGGCAATTTCTGTTCTCCTTTTTTTGTTTATATACAAGTATATCATACTTAAACAAAACATATGAGCCGCGTCACGACAAAACCAACATAATGGGTTTGCGACCAGAATGGATCCAGACAAGCCTGCGCATCCACGCAGTCTGATCAGGATCTATGCTGTTCGCTATCAGTTTCTCTACTTGTTATAGAGTTTGTAAGCGAACAGCATGGATCCTGATCAGACTGCGCGGATGCGCAGGCTGGTCTGGATCCATGCTGGTAGCAAACCCATTATGTTGGTTTTGTCGTGGTGCAGCTCAAATTGTGAAAATTGACAGCCAAAGAAAATAAAATATTTTAAAATAATCAACTTAAACTGTGAAACTAACTTATACCGTAAAATACCTTTTTCATTTTTCATTAATCTCTTCCTTTTGTAAGCTTTACCATACAAAAGACCTAACATAGAAATTCCTGTTTCACAAAAGTAGCAATAATAAGTCTGTGTCACATGATATCTGATGTGAGAGATATGTTTCGTGGTCGATCACGAGCTTGGTGGTCATTGTAAAATATGCAATGATTTTGAAATGAGCTTATAAACATAATCACAAAATGATCATAAACTTTTATGCAAAGATTAAAATTGTCTGCAGACAGTAACGATGTCCACAATATAATGATCAAAGCCAATGGCAAACAAATCAAACATTTCTAGGTCAACATTCAATATCAATATTCTGTATTAGCTCAGTATACTGTATTTATGACAATATAGCCCTTTGAAAAAAACAACAAAACAAAAACCATAGTTGCATGAGATGCATAGAGCATCTTACAAGATGTGTCATTCTGTCGCAAAATCGGCATGGGTATGTGATAAAATATTTTATCACATACCCGTGCTGTTTTTTAAGACTCTGGGAAAACAATATTGCACAGCTGTGTCTATTTTATTTACCATAAGATATCATTACACAAAATAGATAGTAAAAATGTTTCAAAAGCATTGTTTGACCTGGTTTTTTTTTACACTAATCTATCCACTGACCCACTGGCATTACATAGGGTTGGTGATGTTCCCAACATTTTGTATCAACTGTGTGTAATATGAAAACATACATATACGAGCGTATGTCCTATCTCACAAACAGCAAGAGTGACTCTTATTGCCTGGCTTATCTAATTATTACTGATTTTTGTATTTACCTGTAAGTCTCTGTTTAACTGCATTCATCCACAGGTCATGACCTGTGCGCGCTGCCGGGGCACTCTGTGGGCGCTTCTTCTTTTTACCAGGGGTGACTATATATAAGAAAGTCACAAGCTAGCTCTGTTTGTTTACATTTTTATCTTATCAAAAATGGAGCAGTTTTAGAAATAAATAATTGTTTAATGCTAAAACTTCAAATTATCTCAAATATACAGGTATAATTTATGTATTTATTGGAAGGCATCTTTGTTTCACATAATTAAAAAATAGTCATGATTTTTTTAGCCTATTGACAGTCTAACAATATACATCTATCATAATTAAATAAATATTCGTGATATTTCACTACTTCTAGTGAAAGATACAATGAATATGCCAAAAATGCGGGTTTTTCCTATCCTATCCAGGTGTACAAAAAAAAAAATTCAACAATTATAACTTGGTAAATATATCAATCATAAGTCCAACATGTTGATCACTCTATTGTGAATGGTAGTGCAAATGAAGCTATAGACGCTTTTCATATACATTGTAATAAGTATTACCTCCCCTGGCTGTCATTTAGGGATCATTCCCTATTATTTTATGCTTAAGCAGTGTTCACGTTTACTGAGTAAACATATCAATTTACTCGCTAAAATTGCCAGGGAGGAAAGAAAAAAAGGGCTGTTGAGTCCCTGGGACGAAACACTTTTTCCCCGATAATTGGTCAATTCTCTCTTAAGTTTTTTTGCTCTGCTTGAAAATGATTTTCTATTCACTTTAAATAAATTGTATTATAAGAACTTGACTTTCACCTCATTTTCATTTGTTCCTTTCTCATTAGCAATGCAGATTTATATCCCAAACGTAGACTAGGAGCAAGTGCTCGGCCTCGTTTTGGGCCAACCTATCAAGGCCATCCTTAAAAAAATGTTTGTTTGCAGTATCCCGACCCAGAATTTTCAAGATGGGTAGGTAGGTCGATTTTTTTTGATTTTTTTTTAACTGTACTCCCAAATAAACATGGAATTTCAAAATGCTGGACAATATATGCTTTGATAATCTGGTAACAATTAATAAATTGATAACTGAATTTTAATTTAATAAGACCTACATTTTATTTCTTCTATTAACCTTTAAAAGAACAAAAACAAAGCACAAGGCATAATTTTCTGATTCAAAAAATTATTTTTTTATCCAGACCATGAAAAAAAATTTTGAGTAGGGGCAAATTTTGTGAGTCGGTCGCGTTACTGCAAACAAACATTTTTTTAAGGATGGCCCAATGGTATCCACGAACATCAACAGTCACAAATTTGATTGTATTATGAAGTTATGCAAACATTGACATTTTTGTAATTGAGGACTCGTTCCATTTGAATTGGGACGTAACAGATCTATTAGCACTGAGTCCCAGGTACTCAGTAAAGTTAGGGAAAATCGCTAACACTGTATTAGCACTGAGTCCCAGGTACTCAGTAAAGTTAGGGAAAATCGCTAACACTGCTTAAGATAAGATATAAGTCTTCCACAATTCTATCAGCTGTTTTTTTCACAATTCCATCACTGACCATCAGCTGTTGATATTGCTCATGTCATATTTGGTTCATAAATTATATTAATATAGAATATGGGTGGGAAAAACTGAGTTCCGGGTGGGAAAAACTGAGTTCTGGGTGGGAAAAACTGAGTTCTGGATAACTTCTATTATAAAGACCCAATAGGGGTTAAGAAGAAAAACCTCATTTTAACAAACTGGTCTACTAGCTCCTTAATATAAATACATAATAAATATGGAGACCATGAAAGTTGAGTGAATTTACAAGAAAATATTGATTTATTAAATATGTTTAGATTGATCATCAATGCACTAAACAAAACCCCTACCTGGTCTTCTTGGAGTTCTTTTTTTGGCACTTCCTGATACTGAAAAAAACAACAACATAAGTTCAAATAATTATGACATCAGTTGTAACATTTTGAGGGCAAATACAATTTTTGTATACAAAAATTATATCAAATATGAGAAATAGGGCATACTAACATCGATATGTTTAAAAATATAACATTTTAGGGGAAAGTCTCCAATAATTTTGATGCACGCTTTAAATATCAATTACTCTAACCAGAATATGAAATATCTTCCATTTCAGTAAGTTCTGAATGGCACGTCTAACCAACCCATGTATGAAAATAATTCCATCAACAGTTTCACATTCAACTAGAATGTCTGACATTAGGTAATAACAATGCAATAAAATTCAGAATAAATGTAATAGTATCGGGTGATAAAATGATAATTATCTGCCTGTATAATCAATAAAACTGGCAGCAAATTATCTGTAATTACTCACTTCAAGAGTTGCAGATAGACTGACAACTAAATATAATCAAGATCAAGGCCATTAATTTCATTAAATATTCATGAAGCTTTACAGTCTGGAACCTTGCGTGTTGAATAAAAGATCATGTATATCACAGTTCTTGAAATAATCACAAACAGCATGCAAATCTGCACAACACATTCAAGCATGATATAGTTGTGCTTCTATGATTCTACTTTAAACATTGTGTTCAAATTTCAAACAATCAAGTTAGAGCAGAGATAATCAATAATGACCTCTTACGTTAATGAATAATGACTTTTGTAGTTTATGAAAAATGATTTCAGTGGTTTATGAATAATGACTTCAGTAGTTTATGAATAATGACTTCTGTAGTTTATGAATAATGAATTAAGTAGTTTATGAATAATGACTTCTGTAGTTTATGAATAATGACTTCAGTAGTTTATGAATAATGACGTCAGAAGTTTATGAATAATGACTTCTGTAGTCTATGAATAATGACTACAGTTGTTCATGAATAATCACTTCAATAGTTTATGAATAATGACTTCTGTAGTTTATGAATAATGACTTCTGTAGTTTAAGAATAATGACTTCTGTAGTTTATGAATAATGCCTTTATGTAGTTTATGAATAATAATCTCTGTAGTTTGGAAGCAGAACCTAAAAATGTCCTAATTGCTTACAGATATTTTTCCCTCAAAATTGTTAGGATCAAATGAGTTTGTACTGAACAGTTTGTTGTAAATATTTGACGACATGCAAATCAAACAAAACACAACATTGCATTACACGCATAGCCTCTTGAAATTTCAAATACAAATTTTACAGATTTACTTTCATGTAATTTCTTTCTTTTCTGATTTTCATCATTTTACTTAGACTGAGGGAGATATCTATTTTAACTTCTTTAATTGATAATAAGGTAAGAGTTCACAGAAATGAAAGTATAAAGGATTCTTTTACCTGGTCTTGAATTCTTTTTAACTGGAGATGAAGGGACTCTGTTTCTTCCAATCTGAAAATATACAAAATCTTTGTTACAACACTAGTACACAAAGCCTAGTTGTTTAGACAATTTTTGTATATACATTCACCAGCCACATTATATTTGAAACAAACAAAGAACAGTTCTTGTTTTAGGTAAACAATTGCAAGAAGTCCTAACCTGAAATAAATATTACAAAACAAGTTACAAGGTAACACCAAGTAAACATCTTGTATTGTAGAAAAAATCTGAGTGGCTGGCCCCGTTGAAACACAATGGATAAACAACTCTCTTTCTTGGTTTTGCAAGAAAGGTACAGTAAAAATATACGAGCTTCCAAGAAAGTAATTGAAGTAACAGGTGCTTATAATAGAAAGACATAGTACACTTTAAACTGTTTAAGCTTGCAAGACGTAGGACAGTGATTTTGTGATCCACTGTGATGGAGATAAGTTATTTTTACTAATTTGGTGACACACAAGACTCGGTTCATGCCGAGAAGGTATTCAGTTTGCTTAAAGAAGGTCACTGGTTATATGAGCTGCGTCATGTCAAAACCAACATAATGGGTTTGCGACCAGTCTGATCAGGATCCATACTGTTCGCTATCAGTGTCTCTACTTGTTATAGGGTTTGTAAGCGAACAGCATGGATCCTGATCAGACTGCGCGGATGTGCAGGCTGGTCTGGATCCATGCTGGTCGCAAACCCATTATGTTGGTTTTGTCATGGCGCGGCTCATATTCAGGTGCTGGCTCATTCCTGAAATAATACATTAAGGGACCAACACTAAAATGGTGGAAAGTTGCCATATTACCATAACAGTTTCAATGTTACTTAAAATAACAACTGAAATACAGCAAAACATTAATTTTATATATGACAGCAGTATTTGGAAAGACTGACCAAAACACAACATTACAATTTCTTCAATAATCAATAAAGAGAAAACCATTTTTTGCTACAATAAGATTTAAATCTAACAAATAAATTTGTGTGATTCAAAACTGAAAAATCCCAAAAAAAATTAATATAATAAATAAATGTATGTAGAGGTCCAGATCTTATTTGCAAAATCACAAAAATTCTTGTGCATGAAAAATCATGATGTGAATATATATATTAATAATAAGTGGATGCAAAGCTATATGTACAGGATGAAAGAATAACTAAATAAAGAAAAAATAACTAAATAAAAATATATTTACAACTAAGCTGGTATTTTTTGGCAGTTATATTAATTACATGACTATATAACCCTTTCGATACTGAAATTGAAACTTTGTAGCATTACCATCAGTATAATGCAGTCCAATCAAGGCAGACAAACTTTCAATTTTTCATCATGATATACTTATTACTGACAATGGACTGTCCCAATATGGAAGATGGATTAGTCCATTTATGTAAATTTCATATGTTAAGGGTTTCTGTTTGTTTGTTTCATTTTACGCCTTTTTCCTACAGTATTTCAGTCATACAGGCGGGTAGTTTCCTAACCATCGTTCCTGGAGAGTTACACCACTACTAGACTACCTTCCTCCACCCTAAACTACTAAAGCATCTCCCGGGTATCAAACCCACGCCAGAGAGGTAACTGGATTAGAAATCATTGACTCTAACCCCTCAACCAGGGAGGCGGTATGTTAAGGGTTAAAACATCATTAGACTGCTTGTGGCTACAGAATCTACCCCTAGCTGCCAGTGCAGACCATGATCATCTGTCACATCCATGCTGTCTGATCATGGTCTGCACTGGTTGACATTCAGTTAGTTGTTTCTTGAAAATTTCTCTAAAATGATGAATGATAAGGTAGGGATTGAAAGCTGTACAAGTCCATCTAAGATATTTAGATGGGTAATGGTCATAACACAAACAAGCATAGATTATAGCTACTCTATTTATTACAAAAGTTAGAGGTGTAGCTTCAACATTACAACTATATCAAGCAAATAAAGCAAAGAAACGTAAGTGATTATTATAGCTGATTATCAATTTTGGAAAGAAAGATTCCTGTAGATAAATGAAAACTAAGTTAATGAGTGCAAAACATGGTCTTGGTTCGATTCTTCCACTTCATGAGATTATGAAAATTATAAACATTTCTTAGGACCCCTAGCATTGTCTCAAGCAGCTCAAGCAGTATTTAACATTAATTAAGTTGACTGATGTAAAAAAAAAAATGATGTCATTTCACAGCATTTCATAAATTACAATGACGGACTTTCACCTTAATAGACTAAGTTGTAAATTCACATGCAACCATCAGAAAAAAGTGATTAAAGAAACATCAGTTTTTGTATTTCTATCCAAAACACGATTTATATGTAATATGCAAGTACAAGAATCAAACACTGGCTAGATATTCCAGTCAGTACCAGCAGCCAGGGTAAGATTCTTATACTTTATACTGTTGACTGAAATATATCAGTATTTTTCAATTCAGATCTTGTTCACTATCAAATGACAGATTCAAAACAGGAAACATGCATACTAAAAATTCTGGGCTGAGTTTCATGAGAGAGTCCTATGATAATCCTCAATCCTAGGACTTATGACCAACTTTAGGAGAAAAGTTTTTGCACTTAAGACCGTTTCAAGTAACTGTCCTATCTTTTGTCTTTAACTTAAGACTTATGATCAATTCACTCTCCTGAAAAAAGTTACAAAAAACGATGGCACACGCATAATCCCGGATTGGATTTACTATGTAATTGATTATAGCAAGTATAAAAAGTTATGTATTGCCCTCTTATCATGTTGAGTGAAAATGTATACCATATTTCACGAAAAATGATAAAATAACCTTTTAATTTAATTTCATAGTAAAAAATGGTTACGAATCCCCTTGCTTGCATTTGTAAAGCCCGCAGTAATATTATTATTTATAGATGCGTCTTGTTTTGCATGCGATATTTGGCACTACATTGTGACGTCATGTAAGCAACTCTTTAAACGTCTGTACAGCGTTAATGACTGAATCAAAGATATTGGTGTTCGGATTTATTTTCTTAGTTAGACCATTATCTTTCATTCTAGATACATGTAGTTTTCAAAACAAAATTCAACAAAAAATTGTTTGATTTTGGAGTGGTTTGACTTAGGACAATCTTAAGATACATTTAAAACACTCCTAGACTTAGGACTGTTTTGGTCATAAATATAGGAGTCATAAGTTAAGACCTTTTTTAAGACTTTCTTTGAAACGCAACTGCCCAGCTGTATACAAATTGAAACTGTGACATATCCTTCAATATTAATGCCTTTTACATTGTACCAGGAATCATTTCAGCAAGGAAAGAATACTTCACAATAATTTTATAGGGTTAAGAGGCTGTTTGGTTAGAAAGCTTTAAAATAGGATTTACTTTTAAAAGATTATGCATCTAGAATTTGACAAAGCATAAAGTTAAACACTTATTTACTTATCAAAATCTTGACAGTCTTTCCGATCACTTGTTCTTTATGAAGCAGAAACAGTTGATTCCTGGATAAATGTGATAGTTGACAATACCAGCTTTTTATTATTTATAAATACAAAAATGTACATGAACAAAGCAAATGCATGTACTTTTATATATGAAAGATGGAAAAAAGACAAAACTTAAAAAAAAAACAACATATTTTTCTTGTCTTTTTTCATTTTACTCCTTTCAAATTATTAATACAATTATGAAACAAGTTCTATACAAAACATCTTTTTATGGTCAAAATATGATATCAAATTTTATCTGTGATAATTTGCTTGGAAAAAATGCAAAATACTAACCACTAAATGCAGTTTGTTAGCACAGATGTGTTAACCCTAAGGCCTTAATGATCTTTCTCATTGAATTTATTAGGAAATTTTCATATACTGGTATGATAAGAGTGGACACATATTTCTTTTGCCAGCTCATCCTTGGATGTGTTCAAATTTTCCTCTCTTTTGTAAATAGTAAAATCACATATATGCAATGCATGACTAAACAATATATATGATGGCATTAATGAGAGTAATTTAATACTAAAAGAATACATACTAGCGTATCTGTTGTCTCAAGATCATCAGACTCATAATCATCTCCATACTTGCTCTGAAATAAGAGATTTTTTTTTTCAAAATTAGAGTACAGAAGCAAAATTTTATTCCAATGTATTAACGATTATAACCATTTGCAATTGCAACCTGGCTCCCAACCCTTTGAAAATATGGGGGGGGGATGATTTATGATACCTTTTCAGGGACTACCTTGGACTGAAAATTTAGGGAGAAGTGGTTTTCCATTCAGGAAAAATAGGGAGACGTTTTGAAATTTAGGGAGTAGTGATCATCAAATCGAGTTATATCATTGGATTTTTTTCTAATTTTATTTCACATAATTATATGGGGAAGTCAAAGACCGGGCCCGCGAAGCGGGTCCGGGCTTTGGCCTGCCCGGCTATAGACTACACGTGTATATTTAAAAGAAAATGAAATAAAAAACAATTAAAAAATATATAGAATTATATACCTATCAATGAAATTTTCAGTGTCAGTTCTAGACGGGCGCCGCCATTTACAATGCAACGCAATGATAATAGGCGGGGTATTCCAATAACGGAACAAATCTCATCTTTTCGGATAAATGATAATCGTTGAGTGTTCCGAGTGAAAACGGAAGCGGTGCATATAATACCGAATGACACTTTTAAAACGGAAAGAATGAAAGGAATTTTTAACAACTTCCCCGTTCATAGGCTTTGCCTAATTTCATATTAATAATATCGTCAGGTCATGTGTTTTGACGCTCATCTATTTTGACGCCATTTTTGTTGTGACCTAAGAATTGGTGAAAACAACCTAGTATGACGTCAAAATTTGCTGACTGCACTGCAACCATGTATTTACAACGTATAACTAAAACATTTGGAAAGACAGAGACATTTCACTGAAAATACTTCACCTTTATCAAATTTACTGTATTTTTTCATCTTTTTACTAATGCAAAATCAATCAATGTTTATGCAAGCCTTAATTTTGCAAATACAGCCTTTGAAAAATCTTGACCTGCCCTTTTCTGTTCTGTCCTCCATTTTAAAATGTCTACTGGTTGGGGACCACCAAAACCGGACAACCACCAAACCCGGACGGCCCAAAAAATGCTTAATTAAAAATTTTCTGTGTTCAGTGGTGGTCAGTCATTTTTATATCAACAATAAATGCATGTTTCTTCTAAAATTAAATAAATAAATTTATTTCATCCTCCGTAAATGGTAATATTTTAATGACCTTTTCAAGAATTTGACGTTGAAATGTGGGGGCCAAGAAAGCCATGCCTGACCTCATATACCAGCTATAATCACTTGCAGAGTAAACAATAGAATATCCAAAACTTCAGCATTTGTTGCTGAAATATTGTATATCATGTTAAAAGTCAAAAATCAAAGCACCCAAGCTTTTATCTGAATTGAATCACGTCATGTACATATCTGTCCGGACACATGGTACTGTAGTGTTAACAATTTAGGTAATTTTTATACCCTCCTTGTCTAGCCTCAGATATAAGAGTCAATACAATCAGAAATAAACAAACTAGTTTGTTAGTTAGGAGAAGAACCTAGCTGAACTGTGTCAATTTTTTTTTATCTCTAGGTTAAAAATTATGAAATCTGTATGGAAAAATGTTCAAAAAGTGTCCGGTTGATGGTCCCCGACCAGTAATGAGTGTCATGTGACCAAAACTTTGCAAAGTGCCCTTAATATTCACTGTTGCAAAAGGTGTACAGCTTATATTGTTTTAAAACGTTAATTGGTTTTTAATTGATACTGAGTAAAATTCATAATGGGTTGATTATTGTATTTAAAGTTTAAAGAAGAAAGAAAAAGAATCATTTCTTAAATCAACATATATATATATATTTACAAAACCTTTTATTTTAGATATATTTTTCAGCTCTGTAAGCCAAAAGCAGATGCTATTCATCAAGATTATTGGTAAATACATTCAAGCTTAAAGAGACAGGTGCACCTATATTAAGACGACTGCCAGGGTGTATGGCATTTCCAAATAATGGACAGTTTTATATGAAATAAAATATAATTTTAAGTTTTCACAATGTTGTTACATGAAATGTTAGCTCATTTAAAAACTTCTTTTGCTGTACATATTGCATTACAGTGAAATATCCTTTGAAAATAACCACCCAATGAAAAGGCGTCATTTCATATGACTGTAAACAGCAATGGTGCCTCCAGGGTCAGTTTACTTCAACTTCAACGGGTTTTCTCGACAAAATCCACGAAGTAGACATCGACGTCGAGGAGGTGAAGACTGTACATCGGTGTAGAGTGGCGTGTTCCGACATAAATTTTTTAAAACTATTTTACACAATTGTAATCACAACTGTCCCATTGACAAACTGATGTTCCACACTACACCCTTAAAAAGTCATTTGACCAACATGTATTTACACTTTACAAGATGTTGACCATTTAAACATATGATGGTACGACTGGAACGAGCTGGATGGAAGATTTAAACGCCTCCAGGCTCTCAGAAGTAACACAAGAATCCGGTATAATATTCCAGGTATAACAGTTCTTGGGAAAAATGAGTGTTGATAAACGTTGATTCTAGATTGGATTGGGATGAATTTCATACTGTGACTTCTTCGGGTTGAACGAACTGTGGCAATAGTGGGGTGGTACGATATTGGTACAGCTATTAAGTAGTTAACTACTTTATACATGAGAGTCACATCTGCCCAAACTCTACGTTGTTGAAGACTGGGCCATTGTAATTTATTTATTAGTTCAGTTACACTAGAAGGATTGTGTGGGTTATACGGTCTATTCAATACCCATCTTGCTGCGTTTCTTTGTATCTGTTCTATCTGCTTAACTTGAGTCTTTTGTAAAGGATTCCATATTGGAGAAGCGTATTCCAGTTTAGGTCTGACCAAGCTAATGTAAGCCTTTTCTTTTACTTTGGGAGGACAGTATCTTAAGTTCCTCTTTAGAAAACCAAGTGTACTTGCTGCCTTTTTTGTGATGTTGTTAATATGGTCGTTGAATTTCAAATTATCACTGAATTCAACCCCTAAATATGGATGCCGGTTGACTATTTCCAAGCTTTCGCCTTTCATTTTGTAGTCATATTTCTTTCTGTGTGGAGAAGATGAAAATTGCATAATGGCGCATTTTTTAACATTAAATTCCATTTGCCAAATGTCCGACCAATTTTCAAGTTTACTAAGATCTTCCTGGAGAGCTAAGTTGTCACTTTGGTTACTTATCGGCCGATATAACACACAATCGTCAGCGAATAAACGTATACCTGATGTAATATTATCTGCGATGTCATTTATGTAGATTAAAAAGAGTGTTGGTCCGAGGACTGTTCCTTGCGGTACACCAGATGTTACTGAGGCTATATCAGATGATGCGTTGTCCACTACTACTTGTTGTGTTCTATTAGATAAAAAGGAATCAATCCAACGCCTAGTATTACCGGAAATACCGTAATACTCTAGTTTGTGTGATAAACGTCTATGAGAAACTTTATCAAATGCTTTAGAAAAGTCTAAAATTGCCATATCCACTTGTGTACCGGAATTAAGTGATTTTGCAATGTCATCATTTGTCATTAATAGTTGAGATTCACAAGATCTTTTCGAGCGGAATCCGTGCTGATTTTCATGTAGAATACTTTGAGAATCAAGATGATTCATAATTTGTGACACAACTATATGTTCAAGAATTTTTGATACAACGACTGTCAAAGAGACTGGGCGGTAGTTTTCAGGTTTTGATCTATCACCTTTCTTGAAGATAGGAACTACATTAGCTTGTTTCCAGTCCAGAGGAATTTCACCAGTTAACAATGATTGCTGAAAAATACTAGTCATAATGGGCGCCAGTTCAAATGCTAATGTTTTTAACACTTTAATGGGAATTTTGTCCGGACCACTAGCTTTTTGCTCATTTAGCCGTTCAATACATTTCTTTACTCCATTTTCGCTGATGATAATATCATTCATAGGTATGTATGGGGACTGTCCCTTATCTGGAATGTTTTTTAAGTTTTCATTTGTGAATACCGAACTAAATTGACTGTTTAAAAGGTTGGCTTTCGCCTTAAGTACAAAACTTCAGTGATTTTGAATTTTTTACAAACATAAAAAAGGTTTGCAGTGATAAACAACATGTCATAGTAACTTTATATTGTATTTTATTTAATGATCAAATTAAATATAAAAAAATGCACTAGTAAAACAGCTTAAGGGCGTCAAAACTAATGACTCTAGGATACATGTACACCTTTATATGTACATGCATATAAAATATGGTCTTATTAATCATATCAACAGGTTTAAATTGTTTTCACCTTGTATTTTCCTGGCATTCCTTTCAGTTCCAAACACTAAATCAAGTTGACAAGCATTCAGGGATATACATAACAATGTTACTTTGATAAAAATTACCAACAGGTGCCCTTTTCTCAAGTCCAAACTTGACAAAAACAAACCGGGTTTTATAGAAATATTACACGTTTGTGTAATGTTGGTATCACTTAAAATATTGACATTTAAACAAATAATGCAATAGTGTGTGGCTCTGTAACTGATGCAACAAGAGTATTTTCAAAGTATGTCGTTTTCATGCAACTGTGCAAGCAACACAGATGTAAACAAAGCAACCATTGCTAGTGGGATAATCTCTACACAAAATTATCAATTTCAAACATGATCTTGAAATGTAATATTCAATCTATTTTCAAATATGTCAAAGATATAATATTTATTATTATCGTAACACAAGAAGTCTAATAACATTTGAAATAAATGTAAATACTAATTTAAGACACTTTGATTTAGAGAGCATAATAGTAGTTTGTAGGTAGTAAAGTACTAAATTTAGGATTTGGGTATAACACCTCTATACAATTATTGTTTTTACGTGATCGTGCGCAGGCTCGATAAAATAATTGTTCTACTAAAGCAGGAACTTGTTCTCTTAAAATAGAGATCTACTGTACTTATATTCCCTTTAATTTGAAAATTGTAATAATTAAGGAATAAACAAGGCCCAGATACTAGTCTGACAACAGTTAAAATATGTGTGGAGACAATACACACAATCAGATATTTTAAAGAACAGAAATTGTCCGGGAACGAGTCCCGCGTTTGGCAAAACCTATTATTTCCCATTGGCATTGGTAGGGTAGCAGACATGAAGGAAGTGTTTCAGTGGCGTTCACGTAAGTTTCGCAGACTAGACATTGCCATGGACTTAAAATGTTCTTCAAACACTATAACCACTAGCAGTGTAAGAAATTAGGAATTGACTAGGCTGGTCGGACTACCAGATTGGAATATTCACAAGCCCAAAAGACATTTCACTAGCACGATTCATTTGTTTTAAATAGTTGTTTATATTGCCTCTGAAAATACAGTAGCCTGGTCGGGCTTGTTACTGTGAAAAGTTGGTAGCCCAAGGAAATATTTGTAGTAGTCAGGGGCCATCGGACTACTGCTAATTTCGAACACTGCACTAGCCTAGATTAACCCCTAACATACACAATTATTTTATTACACATAACACCCTCTTTCTCTCTGGTCAATACAAGATAAAAATGAACTACCACACGTTCTCTTTTTTCTATGGGATCAGTTTTTTAGTAACATCGTTTCTCATTTTATATTGACTAGTTCAAGAAGGCAGATGTTAAGATGTATGGATAGATAGACTCTTGTTTTAACACATAATTCCCTTATTATTATAAAAAAAATGTAATTTCTATTTTCTCTTGAACATACCAGTGTTTCAAATGACCCGAACCGTCTGGAAGCAACTCTCTTAATAATTAAGGCACTCCAGATAGTCTTGATTATATAGATCTAAACATACATGTAGTTGCAAAACACATACAGTGTTTCATTGATAGTTTAAGTTTACATATGTTCTAAAAATAAAGATAAATATATAAATTGATTTTGTACTCTTTACTTACTTGATATCTTTTCGGCAACTTTTAACTTACATTTATTCCCGTCATATAATATCATTTCATCTTTTCATACTTTTTGACCATGTTTCTGACATCTCAATATATATTCAAATTCAAATTCGATTACATGTATCAGGATTATTTTTGTAGAAATAAATGCTTGATTGCACTAAACATTTTTGTAATTATTTATGTATTTCCAGAAATAACTTCTAGATGTGGTGTATTAACAAAGTTTTCCAAATAAAGAAATACAAATAAAATAGTATCACTTAACCAGCCCTGGAATCAAACCAGCAGCCTATGAATCAATAATATGACATTCATTTGAATATAATTTATCATCTCCTTCATATTCATGAATGAGATAAAAATGTTTTAAAAAAGTGCAAAGTGGATTAACCTTCTTTTTTTTTTTACAAAGATCCACATTCACCATGAGATTATATATATATCAAATACACATGTACTCATTTATCCAAATAACCATTGTCAAACGGACCTTCCTACTGACATACCTAGGAAGTACTCAAATCAAATGAAAATTTATTTATTGTCGGTATGCATATAAACGGATATGTACATAGTATTACAATGTATGGAAGAAACCTAAAGCTTTCATTTGAGGCTATTCTCGAACATAACATTTTTTAATCATTTCTATTTTTTTTATATTTTCTTCACATAAGAAATACAAAAAAAATGTTCTCAATTTCTTGATATGATAGGTATGTTATATTTAAATTACTCACATGAAAAATTTATTAAACTATAACTCTTGTGAGAATGGATGTGTACAGTACGTATAGAGCTTTAATTTTGTTTTTAAACACACACTTTGATTCATTGTAAGATATACACTGTAGATGTGTAAATAAGGTTTTTATTACAATACTTCGTTTATCTCATTTGAATGTTCTCTAATGTTAAGATAAGATAAGTTTAATTTCAAGTCGGCAAGTTTACAACTGTACAACATAAGCTCTAAGAGCCCGAGACTTTACTTCTAAAAGAAAAGTAAATAGAGGCCTTCAACCTGAAGGGGGCGGCAGGTCACATGATCAAAACAAAATGTCGGCCGACCTATCATTTGGTGAGTGCAATTGTCACACGAATATTTTAAGTGTTTTAGAGCATGGATAAGAATTTTGATTAATGACAATGCTTTATTATCTTTATGTCTGTTTTATCCCTTCTTTAAAAACATCTCTTTTAATAT